CTACATCCACAGTGAGTTTAATACTTCAATAACTGATCATACAAAATTATTCACTGTCTATTAAAGTGCATAAGAAATCAAGGTGAGATGTAACCTATGATGACCAGGCCTTTCAGTCATGCCCTGAACTGACTAGGCTAAAGGACTACTACACACACATTCACCTTATTTACATGACAACAGTATTTGGTTACTGTCATCCCTGGGGTGGAAATTACTATGCAGAAGACGAGCAAATACAAACAAAGGCAGGCTCAACCTGTTGATTAGAGCTGCAGGCCATTATAACTGAAATTTGTCATGGCAGTTTTCTTTCTTAGTCATCTCACGACAACTATTTTGCAACGTACTCAACATTTTTTAACCAGCTTTATAGTAAGTGCACAAAGAAAACCACAATGTCTTGTAGTGATCAACTGATTACATACACTGGTCTGATCCACTGAACTGGTGTACAGCTAATGTAATGACATCATATTGTAAAAAAACTAATGACCATGTGATCACTGAGCCAGTTCATGGCATGCAGAGTACAAGTCGTTAGATTACATTCATGTCAACAGACATGTCTCATGCTTTATTGCATTCAGGTCATGTTGAGTCATGCTTTAGGCATGTCGTGATCAAATATAAGACATGTTGCCAGTTGCACAGTACAAGAGGGATACCTGAGTTTAAATGGCTTCTCTCACTTAACCTCCTGTCTTCAATGTCAGTATCTGCTCAAAAGCTCCATTAGTGAAACATTATTGTTAAAGTGCCTAACCCCTTTCAATTTGCAGCCAGAGTCTTAGTTTCTCCTGAATTTGCCACTGTTTATGCAAAGCTCACATTACCAGCAGAGGCAGTCCCTTGTTCAGATGGAAGAGCTCTGGCTGTTTGGCACCTGCATATACAAACTGTTGTTCAACTTGCTAAACATGTAACAGGCAAGTTTGCAGGCCTCCCACCTGCAGGCTGATTCAGTCCAGCTGTAGCAAACCAGGATCTCACTCACTCACTGAGGTGTTAGTGTTGCACCCTGCTTCACCTCAAACTTACATTTAGACTGCCTCCGTTTTTCTAATTCAGTACAGTATTTTTCACTTCACTGTTTAACATTATGTCAAATCTTTTGTCTCTGTATAGTTTCTCGGGGATCATGCACCAAACAGTTAATGAACTGGCTCCTCAGTGTAATGTCAACTTCTTGCTGTCAGAGGATGGCAGTGGGAAAGGAGCTGCACTCATCACAGCCGTGGGCTGCCGGCTAAGACAAGAGCTGAACAATAAATAGTAAATGTCTCTTCTGTCTCACTGTTATCTCCCCACTTTTCTGGGTTCTCTCTCTACTCTTGTCTTTCACTATTTGCTCACCCATTGTCTCCTTTTCCTCCTAAATCAAACCAGTCCAGTCAATGCATCACGCTCCAGTAGCTGCTTTAGTCTGTCTGCGTGACAGAGAGAGAAGGAGATAGCTTTCTCTGCTGTGTGTAGTAGCAGAGAGTAAGGCACTATCTTGTAGTTAGATTTTTTGATTAACCATTGTAACAATAGCCAAATCCTTAAGGTCTTTGCATTTTTTTGATTTCTGAGGTTAAACTCATCATAGAGATAAAACATGCACACTCAACTCCTGAGAAAATGTGCAGAGCAGAAAAAAACAAAGACTTCACACAGTGCTCCTATGTCGCCATTTGGAGGATTCCTCTGATAACTGAAGTCTGTTGCAATACAACGAGCACAGCAGCTGCAGGGCCATTTCAACAGAAAATTGCAGTATTAAAAACTTGATCCTTGCAACATGTTCAGTAGAGGCAGGGACATAAAGAAACACACTGGTTCAGTCCAAAGTCACCCAAAATGTGTCTGCTGTAGGCTACTCATTTATTTTAAAAGGGAATGAGGTGATATATATAAATGTGTAATGAGATGAATGGGAATATTTTTGTTTTAAGTTTTTAATATCTTACCCAGATATAATACAATATGTTATACATACATTGTTGCTATTTATTTTATTTTTATATTGGGAGATGTTGAAAAATTTTGGCGTTGCAATAATAATGCACACAGAGGAAGCCATCGTCCAAAATACCCTCACACGGTACCTGTGCTGTTAATGAGGGCATGACATGAAAGCCATGTCGCGTGCTCGCTGAATGTGCACATTTGTTCTAATTTAAGACGGCAATCTTATTCTTCTCTAATGTACTCTACTGTAAAATATGTCCAAAGAGCACTTGTATTTTACTAAGTAGAAATCCTGTTGTTGGTACTGATCACAGCTGCTGATAATTTGTTGTCGTCTTAAGAAGTGCTGACTTCCCTCATCACCACAGTGAAGCTTACCAGTCACCTAGCAACAGCCATGAAACAGTAATGAGGTGCTAACATAGATGCCAGAAGAACAACAATGGCCAAACTGTGTATAAGAGGAATGTTACAGTAGTTGAAACTTTAAGGGGAATTTAAACTTTTTGGAAATAAAGCTCCTTCCTACTTTCCACACTCCCTGTTCTCCATGTGCTTCTAACGGCTCAGAAGGGTGTTTAAGTGAACTACTGTATGGCTCCAGTCAAGTAGCACAATTCTTACAAATTCAATATTTATTTTTCTCTTTATTAAAAACAAATAATCATATTAATGACTGCTACTTATGATACTCATTGAAGGATTTATATTTACAAAGGTTTATTTGGTCACTCGGTTTTCTGAGAAATTTTTATTTAGGCTGGCCTTTTTTAATCTCACATAAATATATTCTCGACTATAAGAAGAAAAATGTTTTTAATATATGATATATGCATTCTTACACTTGGTATCCAGGACAGGGTATCATAAGCCAATGGCAGTTGTAATGCAAGGATGAACCCTTGAGATGTTACTAAAAATTTTACTGCCATCATAGTGAACCACTGTTGAAATTCTGGCTTGTGGGGACAAGATAACACCAGTCCAACCTGAAGCCAATACTGATAACAAATTACAGCCATGAAAGTACAAACTAGTTGAATTTCCATTCCCACCTACTGCCAAGATAAAGAAGGCCAGCCGCTCCAGCAGGTCTTCAGCTACCCTGCCCTCAGAGGTCCGTCTAAAAGCCGTCCCCATCACACAAAAACCTTAATCTCTTTGCCTCTGTTCACGAAACCCAGACTGTATCTGTCCAACACTGTCAATCAACCAGGCACTAAATAAAACCAAACCTGTGTCAATCTGCTGTTGTAGTTCTTTACACCAGAGATTTTGTACTCGTGTATGTATAGATTTAGTTTGATGATGGTGTCACTGTTCTATACAAACATAAGCTCAAACCCCAATGTGTGTTACTATTAGTCCCAAGTGTTGCTGAGCAGTGCACTAACTCTGCACCAGCTCCACACCTGTTTACAGTAGTTCCAGCAGTCATACATGTAGAAAAACCTCAATGGGTGGGTATTTACTGCACTGCAATTGTATTACTGTTCACATTTATTAAGCATATTACTTAATTTTAACAAATACAGATGTTTCACACCGTCACTGTGCGTATTTTCAAAGTGAAAAAGTTGTTACAACGAATCAAAAGGTTTTGACTACATTCTGAAATGTTTACACTGACAGGCGACATTACTTACAGCATCATGACTTGACTGTAAATGTGCAACCATCACACAAGTTGCCTATTTACATTCGGACTTCATGAGTATATCTTACATAAATCTACTCAATAGATGTCAAAGTTACATTTCACATCAGAGTCTTCTAAGTAGCAGCACTTTTTAATTTTTTTCAGATTTTAATCTGGACTCCACTGTACACACTAACCATGAAAAATATTACAGTTGTATGAACCAGTGAGATCACAATATATGAGCAACCTACTACATGACTGCACACTGTGTGACTGACATTTCAAAGAAAAGCATACTGTACAGTAATAGATATATGCTGACAATATAATTCATGTTGGAACGATTCAGCTAGTTTTGTGAAATAAGGTAACTTCTAACTAAATTAATGTCAGTTTTAATGATGTATTTATGTTAGAAACAGGAGGTGCTTCCTTCACTGCTTCCACTTTCACACAAATTGTTGTTGTATGGTTAGAACATGTTGAGGTTGGTCCTGCTGCTACACCTAGAGTTACACAGTCATAGTGTATGTGTCACTTCCTGCTTTCTGTAGCATGGCATTTGTTATAAAGTCATCAAAATGACCAATCTCAGACTAACTACAGGGGCTAACCTGCACTTTGGTGCTAACTCTGAATGATGGCAAGGTTTAAAAAACTTTTTTGAATAATGTGAGTAACCACAGAATGACTTTAAACATCACGTTGTGTATGATGATTGGAGAAGAAAATGAATGAAATAGAAAAATTAAAATGCCCCTTTGAAGTGCTGTGTCCTGTGGCAGACAAAAAAGAAAAAAAAAGAAAAACCCCAAAACATACACATTAACAACATTAAGGCTTAATGCTGATGCCACTGGACTGTTCATCCATTGTACGCACTAGAAAACCAGTAACCACAGACAAAAACTCCACACTTAAACTACAAAGAAAGGATTTACAAGATGGAGAATAGGGGAAGGAGAATGAGATCAAGTAAAAGAAACGAAAGATGGAAGAATTTATCTTCAGACTTTCCCACTAGCAGCAAATGCTAATATGGATGTCAGAGTAAGTCACTCTTATTGTTTGGTGTGCAGATGTATTTTCTCCCATTTACAACTGTATTTTCACGTGTTCACTTTGACCACTTTGGTATTGATGGCAAAACATCCATCAGCTTTATAGTCACATTCATTCATATACCGCTGTAACACAGAAGGTTCCAGGTCCCAAGTCAGGTCTAATCAACATTTCCTTTCCACATGGATGAAGGTTTGATCAGCTCTGATTGGCTGTTGGCAGCCTCTCGTTTATCTTTGTCTCCATTGGCTGCAGTCTTCACTTCAGTCAGCTCTGTTTTAGCTATAGAAGAACCCCGTTTCCTTCCTATAGAGAACATGCTCATCATGAGTTGTTTAAGTTGTCAGTAGTTGTGCTCCATAAGTTTGGCAGCTGGTGATTTTGTATCATCCGGCCTCCTCACCACATGTGCGTTGTGTGCGTTGTGTGTTTTTGACGACATGGGGTCTTTAAGCTGCATGCAAGTGTCTTGCTCTGTGTTTCTCAAGTTTGAGTCATTGGTGCTGTTTGTTTTCATCGAGGTGTGTCCGTATGAGATGTCGTTGCGGTGACTGCGTGTCATGGTGACTCTGAAGGTGTGTGTGTGCTGCAATTCCATCTTGTCCTCCTCTGACACTTTGACGAAGGGACACCAAGCAAATGCATGACGGAAACCAGCACGAAACCTGCACAGAGAAGGGAGAGGTGGTTTTCTGCTTCACGTTTTGGGGAACAGAAACTTGTGGAGGTCAGGATGTTGTTTACCTTTGGTTTAGACAGCAGTAGATGATGGGATTGTACATGGTCGAACTCATCGCCAACCAGAATATGGCCAGGTACACCTGACAAGGAAAGGAAACATGATGCCCAATAAATAGATAATCCAGACCAAAAAGAATAAATAACAGGCAGAGAGGCAGCTTCTAACCTGTTGGATGTAATGTTGCTTATAAATGTCTCTGTTAAACGATCCCAATATGAAGTAGATGTGGTAGGGCAGCCAGCAGAGGGCAAAGGTCACCACCACGACAACCATCATCTTCACTACCTATAGGAAATCACAGACAAACAATACGCAGTACAAGTCCATGTTACAATTGTATTTTCTATTGAATTTTGTCACATTTAATATCACGTAGCTCAGTTCAGCTCAGCTAAATTTAGCCCATCTTGTCTGAGTATTCTGATAATGCTGAAACTTTTAGAGTCCAGAGTTGTAGTTTATGACGGCAGAAAAGTAGAAGGGTGTGTGACCTTTCTCTTGGCTGTTATCTGGCTGTGGTAATGGTCTGTTGCCTCTCCGGGGATATGTCCACCCCACAGCGACTGGCCGACCAGACTGTAGGTCACCAGCATCACCAGCAGAGGGAGCAAGTAGATCAGCAATATCACCGCAAACTGGTAACTACACACAAAAAGAGAAAGCGAGAGAGAGGCTGGTGACTCCTGGAGATTTGAAAAAGAAAATATAACGAACATTAGATTCAGACAAGGGACTTGTCCTTAGTGATGATTAGTGACGTGACCACTTGGTCATTTGATTTCTAATGATACCACATACCTTGAGAGCTTTTAAGCCTGCAATTACAAATGTTAATAAGTCATTAATAAATAGATTTTGATCCAGACTTTTGGAAACTAGAGGACATGAAACATCCAAATATATGTATCCTTCATATACATGTAGGCTCACAGAATTTGCTGTATACTGATCTGCAAGTCACTGCTGTCATGTTATGCAGACTTTTACAGTAAGTATGCCTTTTCTAAAATGTATAACGTCACTGAGACAGTATGTGATAACTTACAAAATGTATATATGTACGTATGTGCAAGTGTATGTACATGTGTGCATGTATTGTTTTATATTATTGATCTGCCTTTTTGTAAATGTCACTGTTTCTCTTTATATCCATGTTTTGTTTTTTTTTATAAATGTTGTTCTTTCACCTTAGTTGATGTTTTCCTCCATAATCATCAGGCCAGTCGACCATGCACACAGTTCTGGGGTAATAAAATCTTGTCACGCTGTAGTAGCACTGAGGGAAAGCCAATGAAATGGCTACAATCCAAATCACAGCAATCACAACCTTTGTAGAGGTGGAGGACAGGCGGGGCTTCAGAGGGTGGATGATGGCCATGTACCTGAAAAAGGAAGAAAAGGTTTATTCATGTAGGCTATATGTGTGTATCTTGACCTAAAGATACACAGTCAGAATTCTGATGTTTAACTCTCTGCGACTCTAACCCTTTAACCCCTTTAACCCTTTGTGGCACATCTGTGCATTTTTAATCTTTGTGGCACAGATGTGCCACAAAGGGTTAAATGTTGAGTTCTGTTTTCACCCATAAAAATATACCCTGTTATTCATGAAACCATCAGATGTGAAATAACAATAAAAAATCTCTTCACTCAAAGTAATTTAAGAGTTCATGCTGTTTGTTTTTTTAATTAAACATAAGAATTTATATTAAATTAAATTTTGAAAGGAGAAAAATGCAGTATATGAGCCATCATCCTGAACAGGTTATTCTCAGCCTAATAAGCTTTACATTTGAAATATCATTCAATTCAAACTACTACTGATGTATGAACGCCCATTCACCTTTAATTCATTTAGTACTTTCACATGAGCACAAGCCTCATATTTTGCTCTGTGAAATGTTCATGAAATGATTACATTGATTCTTAGAGTAGAGGATCAGCTCAATGAAAGAGGTCTACTCTACAGAAAGAAACCATTCTGCAAAAAAATACCACAGCTCTTTTGTGTACCACATTTTGTGTGGTATTCAGAATTGTCTTGGTTTTATCTCAAGGGACTTTAATAGTCGTATGAACAATAGGCAGAGGCGTATTCATTTATAGATCTGGATTTGTATCAACATGAGGAATATTTATTTACTATTTATTTGTCTGTATGCTTGTCTCTATCTGTCTGTGGTTATGTCCTGGCCATCTTCCAAAGTTATAATCACAATATTTTATTCCTCCCTACATGTCTGTATGATAGGAACAGAATTCAATGTACTGACAGAGCGTAGAGTAATTGAGGGAAAGAGAGAAGAGGGAAAGACTGAATAATCAAGTAACTGCAGAGACTCACTGGCCATTTACATGTAATTTAAATGAAATATAAATGACCAAGGATAATAGCTAGTCTACTGTAAGTATTTGCATATCTGTTGTGCAAGAACAAGAGTCTTTATGCTCAATGAGGTGAAACCTACATTAAAAAGAAACAGTGCCTCCTGCTGTATCACCTTAAGAATAGTTCACTGACGGCAGCTTGTCATTCAGAGGGTAGAATAATACTAATAAAAATGAAATAATAATACTGAATACCAATAATCCCAGTAGCCATGGTAACCCATTGTGAATCTTATACAATATACTTAAGTCATTTAGCAACATTACTCAGTATTGCCGCCATAATAGTTCAATTAATCAGCTATGGCTATGAATCATTAATCTAAATTATTCAGGACTGAGAGTGGGATCTTGCATAAAATGATTTGCATCAAAATGATTTGCATTAAAGATGAAATTTAAAAATAATTTCTTACAGCATTCTGCTGTTAGAACAATTGAGAAAAAAAATCTTTAAACTTGTCATCTAAACCATAAAACATAAGCAGAAATAATAAATAATAAATGAAACAAACAAACTGTAAATAAGACAGGAGAACATGATATTATGTAATCAGTTATTGTGGCTCTGTTGTGTAAAACAATGACCCCTCTCAGGTCTTTTACTTGCATTAACCTTAACTCTCACTTCTCATTTTTATTTTACTTCCACTGGCCTCGCTCTTTAACCTGTTTTGATAGGCACATGTTACGTCAGTCCTGTCCAGGACAAAAAAGTACTGTGAGAGTTGTTGCTGCAGTGTGGAAGTAGCCACACACCTTGTGCCAGTTTATGAATGTAGATTGTGTTTCACAGCTTATCTGTTTAATGTGTCATTGGTTTTCCATTTGCTGCTGCAGCTGATTACACCAAAGAAGTGCCTTGAACACAGTCACTTTAACTGATGATTCAACAAAGTGGAAGTTAATGAGGAGGAATTATGGATTTATAAGCAGATTTTACACCTGATCTGATCCCTGCATATGGCTCATTCATCACTACACCTGTCCTGAGCCACAGAGAGCCATGCATCATATATGTCATGTAGAAATATGAGAGAATAATGAAATGCTGCATGAAACTCTCCTCTGGAACAATTGCATTGCAGTGTACAGTTACAAGTTTAGTAGCTGCACCTGTGCTATGAAATGCAGTCTCATACAACAGCCCTATGAAATTCATGTTCAGTTTGTGCCAGAGAGAGGAGTGGCTTCAACTCTGTAGTCATTTTTGAGGCTATGATTACTGGTGTACAGGACTGAAATGTATTAACATTCAGTCCCCCCTGTGTATGTAAATGGGGGTGGGCAAAACATTGGCAACACCCGCAGTCCAATGCAACACCATCACTAACCACAGCCTCAAAAATGATCACAGGTTTCATATAATATTCATTATAGCACTGTTGTTTCAATTTTATTGCATTGGATTGTAAAAGTTTACCTAATAAAGTAGTGACTATACATATCCTGTGTGAAGCACAGTTTTATAGTAAGAACAGACTGGCCATTCATGTTCCAGTAAGCATTAATGACATCTGTGTCTCTGCTGCCTGTTGACCCATATCTCCTTCATGCAGTGTTTTCATCTGTATTGGGTGAACAGTTTCTGCCAATGATGATGTTATCAAGTGATGCTCATTTGTCTGAACAACTGTTTATTTCATAAGAAGTTGCTGTTTAATCTCAAAAGACAAACCCCTGACTGGGCATGCCCGGGTCTGCCAGTAAACCAAACCAAAATAGACCGATCAGCCACAACGTTAAAACAAGTGACTGGTTTTAATGTTGTGGCTGATCGGTGTATGTGGGATGACATGTAGTTTTCAGGATATTTAGTATTCATCAACCAGTTTGTTAACCACATTTACAGTGTATACCATAATTATAATCCGTAAAGAAAGAAAAATTAATATATCACAGATAATAGCAGTTAAATGGGATATTCGCTAATACAACATGGTTTCTGTGCTGCTGAGTTGACTGTTTCAGTAACTGGTCATCCATCCCTTTTTGACTGTTTGCATAATGCATCTCCTAAATGGTGGATTGAGTTGAGGATCACTCATTCCATCAGTGTCTAATTGCTGGTTCAAAACAGTCTCCCAGGCACTGACTTGTCCATGTTAATGGCATTTTGGAGGAGAGCACCATCTTAACTGTAATGTATTAGAAACACATTAAATGGTTCAAGTTAGACCTAATAGGGTCTCTGCACAAGAGAGCTGTTCTTACCTGTCCACTGCGATGGCAGCCATCGAGTATATTGATGAAAACATTGCGGTGATGGGGAAGAAGTTCTGAAATCGGCAGTAGCCCAGGCCAAAGTACCAGTCGTTGTGAAGCGCATACACAAAGTTGAAAAGAGTGTTGAAGGTTGCCATGGAAACGTCAGAGAAGGCCAGGTTGACAATGAAGTAGTTGGTTACAGTCCTCATGCGTCTGTGAGCGAGGATAATCCAGATCACTGTGACATTCCCAGTGATGGACACCAGGATGATGAGGGAGTACGCTATAGCCCACAGAGCCACCTGAGAGAGGAGAGGAGAGGAGAGAATGATACTGAATTAAACAGATAATACTATCTCCAAAGAGACTTCATTTTCGGATTTGAAATCACTGGTTTTCTCTTTAAGACAAACAGGCCTCAGTCTGCAAGTAATTGTGAAAAGGGTTTGAAGAATGCATTCAACAAAGACGCTGCCCATTCAAATATTAACGCAAAACTTTTATTCAATTCTAATCGTATTTATTTCAACACTTTCCTTGAGTGTCTAATTAGTAATATGACAGCTAGATCAAAAGATGTTTACATTTTTAAACATATTCAGGACTATTTCTATTTCACTAAGACTACATTTGTCAAACATCTGATTTCTAGAAACGTACTTTTTTTGTTAAGAACAGCGCTTTTACAGAACTTTAGGTCCAGAGTCTCGTTCTTTCTAGTCTTTGATCAGACTTTCCTCTAAATGCTTGCTGGCTCTGCTGGATGTAACTCTCCCAGTGAGAAAGAGCTGTCTCTGACATCCACCAGTTTCATTTCTAATCCTCCCACCTGCCAGTCGGGCTGCTGGAACTGATTCCCAGTCGTCTCGTTTCCGTCCTCCAGCCAGTCGGCGGTCACAGATAAGGGCAATGAAGTGGCCTCCATGTCTCGTTCAACGTGTTGAATAAGACTCTCTGCGTCCATATTTTCTCCCAGTTTACCTGGTGACAGAAACTTTATGTATAACTGTCGGTGTGTTGTGCGCCATGCGTAATGAGACTGAAGGAGGTATAGATTGGTTATATTCTCTTGAAGGAGGCTTATACATGGGTAAAGATGTCTATGTGGTGTGTATTTTTCTGTGGCAAACAATAAAACATATTTCATGTATTTAAGGCTAGAATAATAATAAAAAATATTTACCCATCAACTAGACCATGTTAGCTGTACTTTATCAGAGTAAAATGCATTTTTCTTTTTGAGCCGCGTTACCTTCACTAGAGCTGCTTTAATATTTATTTTAATTTAAAGTTTTTAAAACGACTATACATTTCAGATTTAAGTTAGTCATGTTAATTACTCAGTTTCGTTGTGAAGGCATTTGGCTTGCTGAGCATCAGCAGAGTCGAGTTAATAATCATGCATCATATCACTCTGTTGGCAAGTTTCACAGTCTCCTGATAGCCTAATCTTACGGTAGCATATGTTAGTTTCAATGAACATTGTCCTTGTGCGTTAAATAAAGCTGAGCGCACTTGGTTTTTATGCACATTTGATTGAAAAAAAAGACTTTAACAACTATTACTAAAGCGAAATAAATTCATGAGCTAACATGTACATAATCCAGGCATTTGGCACATACACTCACAATAACAGGGTAATTTGACTGCAGAAGCGCAACAGCAGTGATAAATTCATGCAGGTGGACGACCCCGGGGATGTTCTCCTCAAAAATAAGACAATATATCTGTCAGATTATTACTTTCATCTTTCTTACCTCTCTATCTACGCTGTTGAGGGGTCAGTTTTTAACATCCGTTTGCCCAATCCATCGCAATTCCTGTGAGAAGATTAGACTCCTTCTGCGTAATGGACAACCAGGTCCATCCAATAATCCATCAAGACATCTTGATGTGCGCCTCTCTCTCTATCTCCCTCACACACATAGACACACACACACACATACACACACACACACACACACGCATATACAGGCACTCTGTCTCTCTCCTAGAATGTGTAAGTTGCTTATCACGGCACAAGCTGCAGAGAGTGACGGAGGCGCACGGACAAGCAGGCACGCGACTGTGCGCGTGGAGCTGTGCCAACTCCACGTACAAAGAGAGAGAGAGAGAGAGAGAGAGAGAGAGAGAGAGAGAGAGAAAGAGAGGGAGAGAGATAGAAAGAGAGAGAGAGAAGGAAAGAAAGAATCAAATTTAGCTCCTGTTCTCTCTCTGATCTTCAGCTGTAAAATGTTGCAAAAGCAGCTGTTAATGAACCAGAAAATCTTGAAAGAGAAAGAGGTGAGAATGGGATCCATTGTGTGTTATGACTCCAATCTAAAACAAGAGGCAAATGAATACACTATGAGTGGAATAGAGACTAAATTAGCGACATGAGAAAAGAAAGGTGATGAGACCTCCACTGCTATACCTGTAATTTCTGCAGCCATCAGCTCCCAGCTCCCTTGAAATCTGAATCAGTTTTGTGGTGGTTTCACGTGAAATTGCCTTTAAACTAGCCATTATCTGTTTTCCTCTGTGTCTGTTTGTCACAGCACACAGGAGACACACAGAGAGGGCTCATGCGCAACATGTACAGGGTTAGACCTCTGTGTCTTTGCATGATTTGAGAACAGATAGAGAGCTCTTTGGAGATCTCACTATTCATATATTTTCATTATATGTGGATGTAAGCAAAATAAATACAGACTCACTTCCTCAGTAAGATGCTTCTTCATTAGAGTTTATAATCAATTCCATTAATACTACATAACCTCTTGTTTGTTTGTTTGTTTTTACACTAAAAACTCTTGGGGTCCATTCTTGTGGTGATGGCGGTGTTCAACCTACATGCCTCCAGTATGTTGTAGGTTCGGTAATCCACAATCATCGTCATTGTAATCATCATCTGCAATCATCCAGGATCGAGTGAGATTATCCTCCTGCCTGCTCCAGCCGACAAGACCTCTGTTTTTGAGGTTGTGCTTGATGTTTTTTTTTTTTTTTTTTGTTCCTCTTAGCTAGGCACAATCAGCACATGACATTATTCATCATTATTTTTCTGTTGATCACACTCTCATTTAATGAGCTCTGTTGCTGCGAAAAAGCGAAGAGGTGTTCCATTGAATGGCTTGATATCTAAATTAATTGCAATGTTTCCTCCAGGATGAGATTTTATCTGAGTTGAAGTGATTGCAGGGTTGAAAATGAGGAGATTGATCAAAAAAGCTGAAACACTTGCAAACTACAGGGCTGTGTTTGCAGATTGGCAGTCGCATGTTTAAAGAAGCTGCTGCTGTCTGTGCTCCTAGTTAGAGCTGTGGCATCTGAAACATGACAAGACACTTAAATGTTCCCCCCAGAGACTGAATGAGTCAGTGTTTATGTGCTGCTGCTTTAAGAATATAAACATAGATAAAAGTATTAAAATATGTGTGTGTAAGTTAAGTCCACAGGTGTCTGTGTGCCCTGGTGTTGTGTACAGTATGTGTGTTGTGGAGGGGGCAATTGTTGGCCTGGTGTGAAACACATGCACTGTGTCTATGTGTGTTTGATACAGAGTAAATATGTACTTTTTATCCTATCACTTATCACTAACCATAAGGTGCCACTAGGACGCGTACACTTACTGCGCTTTCACAATGTCCGCATTTCACATCTCCACAGTTCAGTGCGTAATAGCTTCTATGCCTCTCTTTCCTCCTGTTTTATCTTTCTTCATGCTTTGCGTTGCTTTTACTCTCACCCACCTACCACTTTGTTTGCTGTTATCCTCACATTTATGCTCTTTTTTGTGGTTCTCCTCCCTCCTGCTCTGTGTGAGTCTCCCTCCCTCTCAGAGGAAATCAACTGTATGTGTTTGCATGTGTTTACACAGAAAAAAGAACAGATAGTCGTAGAGTCTGATCTCATTCATCTGAACTCATTCTCTCTCTCTTTTTTTGTTGCATGTGTACAGTATGCAGTGCATGTGTGTGTTTTCACATGCTCACAGATCCTTACTAGCCTGCAGGGCCTGCTGTGGGGCGTGTTGAAGGTTTCAGGCAGGGGAATGAAAAGTTTCAACACAGCTGGTGTAACTGTATTTAATAAGTGTGGTCTCCTGAGTGAATTTGAAGCCCGGGGCGTTGTGGGTGAAGGAGTTACCATGGTGACTATCTGAGGCTTGATGAGGAAGGGATGACATCTCCTGTCTACCCATGACTAGCACCAACAAAGACAAATGGCTGCATCAACTCACATTTCCTTATGTCTTCTGTTAAAAGCTGCACCTGAACACACCACAAGGACTACACTGACACACAAGAACATTTTGCAAAACATCACTGAAGGACAAAAAAAAAACAATATATATTTTTTGCTAAAGAGAATCTGATATAACGGCCTTGTTTTATTCTTGGAATACAAATTAAGAATAGGTCTGATTTGCTTTACTTGACTTTGCTGTCATGCCAAGGTCTTTTGCCTGTTGAAAAAGATAAGAAAAGATGGAGGGGACAAATAAGGAATCACCGCACTAACCGGATGAAAGTAGCGATCCACTTGACTGAACAGCCACTCAGACAATTTTCTCGGCTGCTGATAAGGATCAACTAGAGCCGATACAGACACTGCATACACTAAGGGAAATCATTGGTGATGCTGCCTCTCGTTTAGGTGTAAAATGTCTCTGTGGTCCTTGGCTGTATAGTCATCAATACTTTGCACGCTCTGGGTTTGAATCCGAGCTTCAGAGAATTTAACTCAACAGCAGTCATATTATATAAAACCCTTTCAAAAATACCATGCAGCAACATTTTAGATTCATGAGCTTTCACTTTGCACTAAATTCAGATCAAATTATCACCTATCAATTAGCAACAAACATTACAATGTTTTAATGATGATGTGTATGGAATGTGCTTGCATATGTTTTATTGATCCAGTGTGTGGTTTGTTTGATTTGCCAGTCACAGAGGTAGTGGTGAGTGTGTGTCGCTTTAACAAAGATGCATCAAAAGTTGTTGGCAAGTTTATCTGAGGGATTCATTGGCTGTTTCCTTCTTTGGGACACAACACAATAGTAGTGTCCCATTCTGTGTGTCTCTCTATTTCACTTGACCACTAGGGGGCAAAATGACATGTTTGAGCACAGACTGTGTATGGTTTTAAATGACTGTTTAATCCATTAAAAACCCGTGCTACTAATAGCTGTATTTGAAAACTTTATAAAATCATGCTTAAAAAAAAGAAGAAATAAATTATTGAAAGTGTGTAATACTAATCCTGTTTCTGTGTGATTATACTATACTCCACCATGTCCATCTGAGGCTCATACATGTCTGTTATTAGTAGATGATTAATACTTCATGGAAACACATGACAGTCCTATCTGGTTGCACAAAGAAAAAACATAGTTTATAATCTTTCAAATTTACCAGTGGTAAAAAAAGAAGGGGGGTGAGTATTAGTATGTGTGTGTGTAGGAGCACTGTTTTTGGGGTTATAACCTGATCTCAATGAGGCTTTTACCTGGTTAAATGAAAAGAAGCGGAAATATAATGAGCCAATAATTCTTGGACACGCCCCCTAGCAGAGGAGGTTATAGGTATTGAAATCCATTTTGAGGTTCATCGGTCTAAAACAATTGTATTTCACGGAAGGCATCATTCATTAAAAAAAACAACTCTCAATAAACATAAAAACTGTTATAATGTAAATCTCCCCGTCCCTCCCATTTTCCCAGTTCATATCAGCCCATTGATCTCCCATCCATCCACCCATTCATCCGTCCTTCCATCCCTGCTTCACGCTTACAGGTGTGGTGACGAAGACAACGCGGAAGTGTGCTGTCAACAGCAGCGCAGTAAGCCGCGGAAGTTAACTGTCCCTCAGGCAGACACGATGTCCAACAACAACGAGATCCGATACTGTCACAGGTTTTCCTACATTTGTCTCAAGTTCCTCCTGTTCTCCTATGCCATCAGCTGGTGGGTGAGTACTGCCATGGTTATCTTTTGTTAAAGAGGAGCGTTCGCTTTGTTGGGACAGATCCCGGCTGGAGGAGGTGAGACAGACAGGGTGTGTGTGTTTCAGGGACAGCTTGTGCTGTTTAGCTCCATAGGGAAAATACGAGTAGACCTTGTTGTGGCAAGGGAAAGATCGTGCCAAGACTTGGTCTCCTTTTGAAATTACAGCTTTGAGTTTTGTGCTCCACAGCTTTGAAGCGACAGGTGTTGTACCTGTTGCTGTAATGTTATTTTGCAAGGTTGAATCATACAACATAACCGTCTGCCTGCTCCAAGGTAGCCACACCCTCCTCTGTGCACCTTTACCCTACTCTTATCTGACTTATATAGACACTGTGTAAGTACATAGAGAGAGGAGAGAAAAGATAAAAAGAAGAAAGAGGATCAACAGATTCAGGCTATAAGAAAAACCCCAAACTGTACCCGAGTCATGTGTGGGCCACCACCTGACAGACCAGCAAAGTGATTTCAGGAAATGAAAATGAAATAAAGGGACAGCATTTTACTGCTTGAAATGACAAAGTTGGTCAAGTAATGGTTCGTCCTTTTAGGCTACTTACAAATATAATTCTTCGTGTGTGGTAGCCTAGAGTTAGGTATTAGCATATCTTTGTAAAGTTTTCAAATATATTTCTGAGAATATACTTAATTTTTATACAGAAGTAGACAAACAACATTAACATACTAGAGTGGAAGTAGTGTGTAGTTGAGTGCAATTTAAACAAGGAAGGCAACACTAAAATTTAAATAGATAGGACTAAGTATAAATGCAAGACAAATACTATTGGCAGACAGCTCCTTGTCCCTGGTAATAAACAGTACATCCATCATTTGATAGACCTGCACTGTCGTCTTAGCTCATCCACTTGCTCTAGAATAGTTGAAGCCACAGTCTACAGGTGCTTGATGTAATTTTTAATGAAAATGAAAGAGCTGCCAAAAAAAGGCCCATCATCTGATTCGGGACTCATTGCTGTGTCTTTTAGATCAGACGAAATAGGAGTCTCTCACACACGTGAAATGATAATAATGCATGATTCAAGTGCCACTGTTTTGTAAATAAGTTACTGAAAGCCTGGCCTAATTGTTCAAACCATTAATTTCCACGTAATTGATTGTTTTGGGCCTTTATTATAGTAATTTTCTCTAAAGTTGTCAATAACTGCTTATAGAAATATACTGTATATGAACAGAGCAAGGTCACTAAGAATATGAATGGATCTGTTGATCAAACAGCTCAGGGAGGGTAACTGATGGCTTTGTGCTGCCTCCGCATGCCTAGATTACTCACAGGGACAGTGGGCAGATGTACAGGGACCGAGGACCATGAAAGGCCACAGAAGCCACAGTTAGGATAAATATGCTGTGTCTTTCTTCAAGGAGAAATTAGGAGTCTGTGTGACAGAAATACAAACACCTACACAGGAATAAGGGGCTACATTTTATCTCTAAGACAGTGTTTTCAGTCGAGATGACAAGTGAAGTCTTGGCAGAAGAGCACTTTTTGTCCTACCTATGTACTTCCTAGATGAATTGGGGAAAAAGGAAACTAAAAACATACATCATCTTAGCAGAAGACGTGATACCTAATAGGGTATAAACAGTATATTTGAGTCTATTGATTCTACGAATCATATTCAGCTGCAATGGACGGTTTGTCTGAGTCTTTGTCCAATGTGCTTAAATATGTTCTGAAGATGCAGTGATTTGTCAAAACAAGGATGGGAGGCCTTAATGATAATAATTTCACTTAATTTTTTTGCCTTGAAACAACTTTGATCTCACTAAAACAAGTTGTTCTGATGGCTTACATTATGTCAGTGTTTTTAAGAATAAAGATTTTGTGCAGCCTAGCCAAACCCCACAACCGCTCCCTCTCATAGACAACATGACAGATTGTATATTTGTGCAGACAGATGGCTGATTGAGACGACACTTGGTGCACGAAGAAAATCACTTTTTTCTGAAATGCTTATTTACAGAGAGAGAGAGAGAGAGAGAGAGGGATAGTGGCATAGTGGGATAGTGTGGCAGAGAGAGGTGAAGGAGTCGGTAATGGGTGTATTATGTAGAATGAATGCTGCCTTGATAGAAGGCGGTGAAACGGATTAAGAAGTTATATTTACTTTGCTGCGACAGCTTGTTGATTCAGTCGTATTAAAGAGGTATTCTAATAGCACACTGTTCCTGAGGAATGTGGTGCAGGATGATACTGTCGAGAACAAGGAGTTGTTTAGGTCATATTGTCACATCCTGTAGGAAAATGGTCGCACACTGAGCGCTAAAAGTGGTGTCGGTGTATTATAACGGGCCACAACAGAGATCCTGCCAAAACGTTTCATGAAGCAGGTGTGTGGGACTTATTTTTAGCTGGCTGCATGGTGCTCTCAGTGACACTTCCACATTTCTTGTCATGATGGAAACAACAAATGCTGATACAACTATGGACTATGATACAACAACAGGCAGAGTTATTGGCAGCATTGCAGAGAAGCATTGGCCAAGTATTCTGATGGTGATTTATTAGGAAGTTGCCCAAACAAATTTCCATGGCGCATTTTTGACCTCAGACCTTTGCTTTCTCATATCTTTACTGGTCTTTTAAACATTTAAAAGATTATTGAAGAATATTATTGGCTCAGCTGTCTCGTTTTCAGGTTTTTTTCAATGACTTGTTCTTCGCATTGACTCGGTGTCCCAGAGGACAGGATATCCGTGTAGTGGAGATCAGCTGCTGAGGCTGTCAACAGCCAAGCAAAGTAGCATACTTTGCAGGAACAATGCACAGGAGATGGTGAGTTATTTTGTGCTCACTGTGGAAAATGATTTGAGTCATGAAAGGACAATAGCTTAATGTGATCTAGCTTTATTGTGTGTGATCAAAGATGTTCCGGTTGACAAAGACTAAAACCAAAACCAAAACATGTGGGCGAGAATACTGCGGGCGTCTTACAGTCTTTGGAAGCCGCTCTGAGGTAAATTGTTATTCCACAACAGTAGAGACATAATGCAAACAGAGCATTTGCTAGGCAGAGGTTATTATTTTAATTACTGGGACGTCATTGGAGGTATGTAAAAGGATTTCTGTCAGTTGTCAGTTATGATTGTTAACTGTAATAATCTGTTTATTCTTGTCAGTTTAATGTCAGAGTAATTCTAAAACAACAGAAGTTGTTTTTTTTTGTTTTTTTTTAAGATAACGATCCTAACTGTGATCCCAGCTCTGAACGTCTTGTTCTCTTCACTCCAGTCTGCTGCATGAGGTTATCTGCCTTTCTTAACTTGTATTTACCCAGTGAAGGTTTATTTAACACTGGTTCATACAGATAACACACGGAAACACCTTCACACTTTGGGACTTACCAGCTTAATGTCACTCTTTGACTTTTGACCACTGAATTTATGAATTGTTTTTTTAGACGTCTGTCTGCAGCTTATCCTGGTTTCAAAGCTACATTTGAGTTTCAGCCTTTGAGTTATGCCCCCATAGAGCAGTTAGTCAAGTGCACTGATAGGACCATGAGGTTGTTTTAGCAGAGTGTAATAGATTTTATAATCCAACTTAACCTTGGACTAATGCCCTGATATTTTCACTAAGTCATCTGCTGCTAAGTGCATGAGGATAAACACAGTACTGCCTGTGCTATTATATTATCACAGCTATTTTAGTTAAGATTTGTTTGCATGAACCATGAGTGATTCACAAACCATCAAGACTCTTTGTACAGATATATCACTCCTGAATGTTGACATTTTATTGTTGGCAGAAATTTAAAGTTGCTCTGTTTAAAATGCTGTCAGCTGAATGGAAGTGAGTTTCAGGGTGGGTGGGTGACCAGCCAGCAGCAAAATACCATAACAGACAGCAAGCAGGGACATGTAAGGAGAAGACATCACGGTGGAGTATAAACAGTGCTCGGACCTTCAGAACACAGCGATGAGTACTAATTTTCTTTCCTTCCCTCCTTCCTTTGCTTCCTCCTCTTCTCTGACATGTTGTCCATCTTAATTTGGAAAGGCTGAAGATAGATTGTGGGGAGGCTGACAGCAATTAGCAAAAAATGTGTCAAAGAATGAGCAGTATTCAGTAGCAACATGCTGTGAGTGTACGTGCATGTGTATGTGCATGTGTGCGTGCGTGTGTGTGCGTGTGTGTTTTGAGACTCTGAATCAAAAAGGTTGCCCCCACCTTTTAACAGTTTTTCTGTTGACTGACTGCTGGTGTGGGGTAATAACCATCTCAGCAAGTGTGTAGTGTGAAGACAAACAAAAATGTAATCAACTGTAAAACCACTGAAAATTGTTTAAAATGGTTCAATAGCTGTGTCTCGTGAAATTGGCTGGCCTGTGCTACAAAAACAAACCTGAAGTTTTAAAAAGTCTTTTTTTTTTTTTTTTTTTTTTAAATACAGGGTGTCTTCCTCTGGTTCCTTGTGCAGCAGAAGCTCCAGTTTTAGTGAAAAACTGTATTGTGTTTATTGTGTTTGGCAGCCTACAGGTAAATGTAAAATGTACATGTGCTGCAGAACATTGCAAGGACGCACACTCACTTGACCCTTACATAAAGGTTGGGTACATACATAAAGGACAACAAAATAATTGATGTCACTATAAATGGGTCATTGGTATTTGGCCAGTTACTACATCAGTGGCCTGCTCACATTACAGATCTGCATGTGCCCTTGTGCAATTTGCCAGTAATTGAATCTATGCAAGTTGCCTTCTTAATTTTAGATTTGCTCGTAGCACATTGTAGCTCTCTAGTCTGTGTCACGATCAACAATAACAGTAGTAACGACTAGTACAATGAAGTTGTATGTAAATGTATTCTTGCATTTTAGCATATTACTGCTGGCTTATATATTTTTGTTGCCGGTAACTGCATTGTTTCAGTGGACACTTTCATCAGTGATCAATTGAGCTTCAAAGTGATTGAGCTGTGTCTGTGTCTTAATTATTATTATTATTATTATTTAACAGGGACAGATTCAATATTCATATATAGACAAACTGAAAACAGCTATCCAGTGCAAGTATCATAGTGTTTATTGTGGATGCTAATTTACAACACATTTAGTAGTAACTCAGCTACAGAAAATCAGAGTAAATCATGAGTTAAGTCTGTTCCTTGGTGGATTCCTGTTTCAGTTTAGTAAAAAAACAGACTTGATGTTATCAGTCTCTACACACTGTTCATGACCTTTTAAATAAGAGTCAAACCATGACCGTGACCGTTATGACAAATTGCACATTGAGAGTTTTGTGTTGTGATTTATGGTATGAAATGCCTCTTTTTAAATCCATGAACACTGCACCTAACTACATTTCCTTTATCAAGTCACTGTCTTATATTTTCTAATAGTAAACAAGTGGCCGACTCTGTGGAATGGTTATGTCTGAGGCTCAAATGTAAAGGGTGCAAATTATGGTTTGTCTTCAAGTAATGGAGCAGTTGTTCTGAGACAGTCTTCTCCAGACAGGACTGGAAGAAGACTAATTGGTCTGTAGTTGCTAATCTCTTCAGCGTCCCCGGATTTTAAAATGGGCATTACCAAAGCATTTTTTCATCCATGCGGGAATAGCCCCGTTTTGATGGAAACATTAATAAGATGAATAAAAGGCTGAACCAGAATGCTGAAGAAACACAGTATCTAGGTTATGTAGGCCTTTATCCTTTGAGGATGTGGTGTTTAGATCGTTAAGATTTCCAGACAACTGATGGGTCAACTTCCCCAATCGCAAGTGATATGAGGGGAGTTTTCTTAGACAGACTGAATGAAGAAATCATTAAATCTGTTAGCAACTTGTACATGATAAAAGATGATGTCTTCCCCATTTGTAAATTCATGTTTGTGGGTAACACTGGCCTTCAGTTTTATCAAACTATTTAGTTGTTTCCAGATTATATTACCTTTTCCTTTAGTCTCTGATAGGACTTGAATATAATTTTTTGCTTTTTAAAATGTGTGGTTCATTTACTACCTGATTTCCCAGTCCTGGAAATAATTGCAATTTTTTGAGAGTTTATTTTCTACTGGTGTAGAGGTGAGTTGAATTCCACTCACATCCTTTGTAGCATCAAAATGTCATATCTCAGAAACTTAGCATAAACAACCAAAACCATCTTCATGTCTCGATAATGTTATAGCTAAAAACAAAAACAACTTGATTCTCTTTAATTATTATGTTTACAAGAAGGTTTGTTATAAGTTAATTAAATTGACCTTTTAAGGAAGCATCAATTTAACAGCTTTAATTTCTACTTAAATGAGCATTGATTTGATATATTCTTCACTTAGTAGCTAGTGCTGTATAGCTGCTTGAAGTGGAGGGATTCTTCCAGTCTTTAGTTGCGGCCTTAAACTGAATGTCTCACCGTGCAGCCCAGACCTCTTAAGGACCCTTGGAGGAGTCTCTTGTGACTGACCTGTTTACATATGTTTGAGAAGAGAGCCTGCAATTAGTATCCATTAATGGCTGTACCGTACTGGTTGAGACCACTTCTATTTCTGTCGTACAAACACAAACCAGGCAGTTGATTGGTGCACGCTACTATTTGAACACTAGAAAAGCCATGCGACAAATTATATTTGGCCCCTTTAATTGGAGGCTTGTCAGATCCTCTAAATTGTTGAAATGAAAAAATGTGATGCCATTTGAACAGAAGAAAAGACATTTCAGTGGTGATGTTGATAAATTGATTTTCAGAAGACTGATGTAGTGGGTGTATGATGGCGCCTTGTTCTCATGGTGTACACAAAGCGCCAGCCAGTGACCCTTTTAAGTTTCTGAGTTACAGAGATATTATTTTAGTGTCTGAGTCGGTGGCCTCACAGGAGGAAAGTCCTGAGCCAAGTCAGTAATTCTGTGATACACTGAGTCTCTGTACCCACCTTTTAGAAACCTGATCAATGAAGGTCTGTATAGAAGAATACATGGTTAGATGCATGAAAACCGAACACTGAAGGACTGAAAAAGAAATAATCACAAAGACAGTGATAGAGAGAAGTGTGTATGTGTGTTTCTTTTCACAGTCTAGACAGATTATCTGCTTCACAGCATTGACAGTTCTTCAAAATTCTAAAGTCAGGCCTGAATTAATTATTGAATTATGGTGGAGTAACTGAGTGAGAGAAGGACACCGAAACTGATGTGTGTGTGTGTGTGTGTGTGTGTGTGTGTGTGTGCGTGTGCGTGTGTGCGCGCGCGCGCGTGTACTTTAGACATCATTGTTCCCAGTAGATTCACTGTATCCCCAACTGAAGAGCCTCAGAGAACCTAATTAAAGAAAGCTGTCATTTACAATAACAGCAGTGAATTGTCTGTTACTGCAGTCCACTCCAGTCTGATGAAAATGCAGGTTATAATTAGTATAATTCCCTTGAAGCACAGGCAGACACAAGTTGCTTTCTTGCTACTGATAGAGTATATCTCTCACCAAATGTACCGTGAAAACACACAGTATAATCATATTAGCTCAACATAAACATTAGCAAGCGCAGCGTGTGGCTTTTGGAATGACAGTTTAACAAAGTAAAATAAAGACAATCAAAACAAATACCTCGTTGGCTGCATGCTACAACAGAGGGAGTAGGCCTTGAGTCTTGTCCATGCTTGCTGCTTGTATCAACCTTGTTGCATGTTGTGCAGTGGCTTTATTTTGGTTTTATAAAACATTACAATAATGGAATTAATAATAAAACTGGCACAACTGCCAGTGAGTAATGACATATTGTCACCTATACAGGATTCTTCACATGACACTTAAATAATTGCATTATTTATTCCAGTAAGGCAACAAGATAAACATGTTTTCCAGTATTCGACATCTCTTGTTCATTATATATATTACTCATAATATGTGCAGTAGCCATATAAGTATTTACATAAGTACTACATGATTGTTCTGTGTTAGTTATTTAAGTTTGCTGGGTAGAATCAGTAAGGGATGTGAAAATTATTCTAATTGAAGAAGCTGATTTAATACTGGATTTAGATTTGACCAAACCCCAACACTTGTTTATAGAACCTGCCTCTGTCATTGTATCTTGCAACCTGGTGACACCATGACTGTCCTCCGCCAATGCTTCTTTATTCATAATCTGTTTTTCATTTGTCTATACTGTATATGTGTGGAGACAATTTTGAGCCTTTGTCTTTGGCCCACCACATGCTTTCTTCTTTTAGTCATATTTAAAGCTACTGAAATTATATGAATTCAGAAATACTACCTGTTTCCACTTATGTTCAAGCTGATGACTGACCCATGCTATCTACTTCACCTTTGTGTTTCCAGTTAATTGGTGGATTTATCCTGGCTATTGGCATATATGCTGAGGTGGAGAGACAACGCTACAAGACACTGGAGGGGGTGTTTTTGGCCCCAGCTATAATCCTGATCCTCCTGGGAATCATCATGTTTATTGTTTCATTCATCGGAGTCTTGGCTTCACTCAGGGATAATCTAACTCTCTTGAAAGTGGTGAGTGTTGTCCTTACAGCCAAAAAATGTATTTTTTAAACAATAAAGTACCTGCTAGGATCCTTAGTCTGTAAATGTTCTATTTATTCTTTGTTTCTGTTTTGTTTTTTATAGTGGCACACCATAAGGGCAGTACTTTCACTGTGTATTCATTGTGTGATTTCTGGTCTTAAAGCTGCTTTACTTATAAACCAGTGTGTTGACTTTCACCTTTATTTGTACCCATGAGTCAGTTTGAAAAAACTATAAAACCTGCAAAAAATATAGATAAACATACACTCGGAAAGCACTTTATTAGAAACATGCTGTACTAATACTCAGTAGGGTCTCCATTCGCTCTCAAGCTGCCTCAGTTCTTTGTGGCATTGATTCCACAAGATGCTGGAGACATTCCTTTGAGATTCTGGTCCATCTTCATTTCTGCAGATTTTTCATTTTCACATTCCTGCTGCCAAACTCCTGTTCTATCACGTCCCAAAGGTTTTCTACTGGATTCAGATCTGGTGACTGGGGGAGGCCACTGCAGTACAGTGAACTCATTGTCATGTTCATGAAACCAGTTTGAAACTTGCTTTGTGACATGTTGCATTATCATGCTGAAAACAGTGACTAGAAGATGGTTAAATTGTGGTCATAAAGGGATGCACATGGTCAGCAACAATACTCAGATCGACTGTTAAACCATTCAAACCATGATTGATTGGAATTAAAGGGCCCAAAGTGCGCCAAGAAAACAATCCTCTCACCAGTATACCACCACTGATGCTATCCTGTCGATGCTAAATTCTGACCCTACCATCTGCAGCCTCAGCAGAAATCCAGATTCATCACACCAGGCTACGTTTTTCCCTGTCTTCAACTGTCCAGTTTTGTTGAGCCTGTGCTCACTGCAGCATCAGATCTCTGTTCTTGGCTGACAATGAGTGGAACCTGACGTGGTCCAAGGTTCAAGGTTCAACGTGTTGTGCATTCTGAGATGTTTTCCTGCTCACCACGTTTGTAAACAGTGGTTATCTGAGTTATAACCTTTCTTTCCATCCACAGAACTGCTGCTCACCAAATGTTTTTTGTTCTTCGCACTATTCTGAGTAATAACGCTAGAGACTGTTATGTGTGAAAATTCCAGGTTATCATCAGTTTCAGAAATACTCAAACCAGCCTGTCTGGCATCAACAATCACGCCACAGTAGAAAGTCACTGAGATCACATTTTTTCCGCATTCTGATGTTTGATGTGAACATTAAGTGAAGCTCCTGATCTGAATCTGTATGATTTTATGCACTGCACTCCTTGCACAAAGCACACTGGCCAACAAGCAGGTGTACACGTGTTCCCATTAAAATTCTTGGTGGGTGTATAGTTGCAGTATAACATAGTGCTTATTTAAAATTGTGTCCCATAATAACTTAGTTAGTATCAATGGCCAGTTCTTCAGATGTTGCTTCATTGTAAGGCAACTCCAAAAAAACATTCTTATAAAGATAAAGATAAATATGTAAGTATATAATGCCTCCTCTCTCTGTTGTCTGATTGATTACAGTTCATGTACACCCTGGCAGCGTGTCTGTTCCTGGAGCTGCTGGGGGGAATCTTGGCGCTGGTGTTCCGCAACCAGGTGAGCTGTCCGAGGTACTGATCAATAATCTGCTAGACTCTCCCACCTCAGAGCATTTGTCAGTGAGGTTCTGAGTCAGGTTAGTTTTATTTATATGGCTTAATATCACAAATAACAAATTTGCCTCAAGGGGCTTTACAATCTCTACAGCTTAAGAGACCCTCTATACTTCAGCCAAGCAACTTCCAGGTGCCGCTCCACCATGAAGACCTGGAAAGAGGACAGATATGCTGTATCCATAATGTACCTCTTACAGTGGAGGAACGAGAACAAACAAAGCTTTATACATCAGTAAACTGATATGGACCGGCCATTACATAAAAACAATAGCATGATTGAGTGGGAAGTTAAAGAAAATATTAATGTCATTATGGTTCTCATTTTTCAAAACTGATAGTCACCAAGTGGCGTATTGTAGACAAATAATGAGCCAAACCATGCAAGTGGTATAATATCCAGAGGCTTCACTGACATCACACTCAAACCTTATTTGCTCATATTTCTCGTCAGGAAATCTACTGCGACAGTATAACCAGAATTAATCTGTTCAAAAAGAAGATAGGATTATTATTTGTGTGATATCAGTGTGTTGATGTCATGTTCTGCTTCCCTGACCCTTCTTTGTGTTGCTGTATCAATCTTTCTTTTGTCTGTCTCTCTCAGTTTTAATACATCGTTCCTAATCCTTCTCTCGTATCCTTTCTTTGTTTCTCCTTTTGTCTCGCGCTTCAGTTTTTTTATCTCATTTCCCTCCTTGCAATAAAATCCAGTTACGTTCCTGTGCATGCTAACACAGTGTGATCACTTGTTTTTATTTCGTCGTGACTCAGCAAGTGGCTTCTGTTTGCGATCATGAACAGTACTTTTTGTGAAAAAAGAAGACTGAAGGAAAGACCTTAATGTGACATGTAAAGACTGGACATTATTAATTGGATATTTTCATTGTTTGAAATTACTCAATTGAATATAGTAACCATTGTGGTTGTTCAGTGATGCACTGCAGGAGGATGATTCAAAATGCAGTGTTTTCTCTGCCACTGAGGCAACCAGCCATGGAGTCTAGACCACCTCCCAGTGAATCCCCATCGCACAACATGACTTGAACCTCTCATTTGCTACTAGTGCTATAATGAACTTGTATCTGATTAATCTGCCATCAATGTGCACCAAACAATTCTAGCTATTGCCTCAGATTAAAAGCCCTTCATGGTAGGAACTTGAAGGCAGTTGCAGAGAGTGAATCCTAATCATGAAGTTTAGTGACGGCGTTAAGTCTCTGGTCATCAAAAGCATCGAGATATTTTTCTGTGTTTTTTTTTTTTTTTTTCATAGAGGATCAGTTTAAATATTGAAAGGCAGGAATGGTTTCAGAAACAGAAAGCTGTAGGATGCAGAGCTGCAGGAGGCAGGAGCTTGTTTCAGTTTAGGTGAACCTCCACCGGATCCTCAAAGTAAACAACAGGGTAACCATGCTGAGATGATTGGAAACCCACAGTGTCCACAGCAGAGGCTCAGACCATGTTTACTCATGGTACAAAAATTCAACGCATCATTGGTGAATGTTATGAAAATTAATTTATAGCAAATACAGTCTTAACACTCCCACCTTTGTTGATTTAAATTTGAATGTAAAGGAAACAACAGTGTTCTGTGCTTTAACTCACTGTTTTATACTTACAATACATACACATACAATATATACAATTCTGACCAAAACTATTAGATCATTTTTATACCGTATAATATGTTTATTATATATAGCGAACAACATTACGAATTAACTGTTGGCACAGTGGAAAAATACTAACTGTGCTTACTGTATGCTAATGAGAATGCGCTATATGAATAAAACTGCCTTGCTTTTGCCTTTAGTGGCCAAAACATACATAGCGGCCAAACCGGTGTAAACCCAATGCAAAGTAGACTGTTAGAGTGGAATTAGGAAATAGTTTCTTGTCATAACTCTCTTACTCACACCTGCATGACATGGCTTTAAATTTACATCCAGACTAGGAGGAGAGCTGCTGTTGCTGTAGGAATTACTACAGTGTGCTGAATAACACTGAAAATGAAAAACATGTTGAAATTCGTGGTTAAAATCAAAATTATGAATGAATTTGTTGGGTCAAAAATCACTCCTTGAGAACTGAGGTTTTATGTAACAGATATTGGTGGAGGATTACAGCTAATGTGCCTGGGATTCCCAGAGGCAAAGTGGTATGATACCGACAGTCCTCTACTGAGATATTCATTGCATCAGTTTTCTTGATAAAACGCTCTCTCATTCATGAATGTTTTAATGTGGCTCTGTGGGGACCAGCTTGAGTTTCTGGGTTTGTGTCTTTTTAATGCTCTTCAATCATCTCATTTACATGACTGTGACATTAAACATAATAATGGCCTGTTGTCGATTAACTTTTTTAACAGTGCCATGTAATGCATTTTAATATTTGTCTCTGTTTGACAAAAGAAAAGCTAAATTATCCACAATGTGTTTTTCATTCCAGGTTATTAATGGCAGTTTTTTTTTAAATACAATAAAGTCTCAGCTACTGATGTCATTTTTTATTTTATTTTACTTATCTCATTTACATTGAGATTTAAATAATATAGCAGTGAATGAGAAATGTGTGCATATTAATAATATTTCAGTTGTATAAGTAGATTTTTATAAAGATGGATTTTTCTTTGCTATCTCATTTCCAGTAACACCATGTTTAAGATGATAATGCCATGTGAGCTAATAGTGAGCTCTTTAATAATGGTCCAGTTTCATCTTTCTCACAGGGAAATGCCTCAGTAGATGAACTCCAAGTCTATAAATCTGCTCATTGTAATGTGGTTTAAATGTGGCTGCCTTGCCCCTATAGATTCACTGTGAAGACGTGATATATTCTGAGAAGGAAAGAAAGAAATTAAATGAAAAGCTCAGTCCCTTAAATCTCTGACTCTCATGAGGGAAGCAGTCTCAATTCATTATTATTAGTGGGAACAAGAATGAGGGAAAAAAAAGCCCAAAGCCTAAACTATAAATAAAACTAATACATTAGAAACAGAGTGCAGTGAAGTGAAATTAGTGGAATAAATGAACGGCTCACTTAATGAAAACATTCAATGAAAACCTCTCCATGAGTGTATACTTAGCGGAGTTCCAAGTTTCAAATATTTATTCTCAGTCTGTGGATAGATTGATACATTAACCTAATGTGACCCTGCTGCACCAGATTGTGACTGACAGATGTGAGCTGTCAGACTGTCATATTTTAATATTCCAGTTCATTGGATCAGTCACCTTGACTAATTACAGCATTTCCTCTCCAGAGCGGAGCTGCCTGTCTGACACATTAATGGTAGATCAGCTGTGTCGCTGACAAAAGGAACATGGTCACATGACAGCCCTCCATTATCATTAACGCACCCAAAACTGTTTATTTTCCCCCTTATAGACGCTGGAATTACTGAACAAGAACATCCGAAGGGGCATAGTGAACTACTATGATGACCTGGACTTCAAAAATATCATGGACTTTGTTCAGAGGAAGGTAAGGTTATGTCACTCACACAGAGGAACATTCCTGTCCACAAAAGACTCAACACAAAGGTGTGTTTTAGCTTTATAAATGTGCTATAATGCAAATGCAGTGCAGACAGTACAGACAGCTGATTTAAGGTCTGTGTGAGTAGAAAGAACGAGTGAACTAAGATGATCACAGCAAGTCGTGTCCAAAATAATGAGAGAACTGTGCCGAGCCATCACTGTGCACCTGCTCCCGGAGTACATCAAACAGCCACAAACACAGCCTAAAGCTGAAGCTCTCATTACCAACTTTTGTCAAACACATGGGGATGCTGGGTCTGGGGGCAGGAGAACGATCACTCATTGAAATTCACAAGCAGCCTGAACAAACTCTCTCATTAACAGAAGAGAAAAGAAAAATGCTCCTTCAGTCTGCAGGCTTCACACCTTGTATTATAAGGGAATATGTGGGTAACCAGCGCAACAGTCACCAGCGGAGCGAGATTGTGACTTTATTAAATGATATTCAAGATGCTTGAAGGCTCAGAAGTAGTTACTTAGCTGGTTGTGTGGCAGCTAATTTGGTGGTTAAGCAAATGGAAGCTTAAGCACCTGCTGGGGACCTGGTCAGCGTTTAAATACTTGAATCCAAAAGTCTTAACTTTCTCACATTTGTAGATTGGCAGACTCGTCAGGTGCCTTCCCATAATGTCCAGTGTGCTAAGGCGATTTAATTCCACCATTCATATTGGTTATTTACTATGACCAATGGGCCTACAAGAACACAGTATTGTTTCTGTCAAAGTTGGGGCTGTTATGGTCATTTCACATGAAAGATTTCTGTATTTGTGGAGGTTTTTTCTCACTGGTTTGTAGAACTATGTTCAACATTTAAATCTAAATGTGATGACAGTTATAGAGTTGTGAGTCAGATCTGATCAAACCACACTGACACACTTCTGAAGAGTTTTATTTTAGCATTAAACTCTTACTTAAAGTGACTATAATCAGTATTTTATAATAACAATGTGTCAACATGAAAACAATGTGACAATGTGAAAATTGAAGAACCGACACAATTATAACCACAATCTGCAGCTCCTCTTGTCCTTTATACTGAGTTTAAGCTTATTGTTTGTCCGTCTGGCCCACGACTTTCAGCCGTTTTCACTGAAGAAGATCTAAAAACCCACTGTACACAAACCGCTCGGCACCTAACAGCAGACACACAATGTTGGCGACTAACTGGTGAACACAGTGGAGCATCTAGCAGCTAAAGACACAGATATTTCCTTCAGGATGGAGGAGGAGACCAAAAAAAGAGCTAGAAGAGAGTGAATATTGTGCTAAAATTCTCCACGTTGCCAACCACAATGACTCCATGATGATAATGTTGATTAGGCAACTGTTTGCTAACAGGTTCTACATATAATGTGATATCATGCCAATGATGTGTTCAGAGCTTGTTTTCACCGCGCTAAGGGCATTTATTGCAAGATTAAGACATTCATGAATGTCTCAGTTGATTAAGAGACTCTGTGCCAGTCGTATCAGTGCTGCCAGGAATAGTTGTTGTTGCTGGAGAGACTTCAGAGCATGACGGCTGTGTAGTTCAAAGTTTCGGTCAAAATATGACTTTGGCATTTTAAATTTTGACACGACTCCACAGCGTCGGTTAACCTCGGTTGTTCACTTCAAAAACTGTTCCACTTCATTATCAGTCCAAATAAACGGAGGCCAGCTTCCTTTGGCGGCAGATTTTTCATGTTTATCCTGTGATGTGCTCTTTGAAGAGCTTAACTTACCTGTGCTGTGATCTGCTCGCTCTGTTAACAACAAACAGCGCTTCAGTAATGGTAGAGAACCATTTGGCAGCAGTGGTGTAAAGCTATTTCTGTATTTTTCCTGTCATGGTGTAAAGCTGATGGTGTGCTCAAATGTCCTGCAGCAGGAGAGATTTAAGTGTTTTCCCGGAGGACTTGGACAATCAGAAAACCTTTGTGCGGACTGGGGCCGTTTCCACAACCAAATGGGGGTTGTGGATTTATTTGTGACGACAATGGTCTGAATTCTGCCTTGCTTGTGTGTTTGTGTTGAGTAAAACAGACAATGGTGATCATAGACTACGATGGTGACACATCAGTTACTACTGTTGCGCTGAAAATCCCTTTGTTGTGTGTGGGTTGGTGACTGCATAGATATTTCGGGTGTGTTTGTGTGTGAGCAGTCAGAGTGAGCCTGCACTTTTTGTTTTGTTTTTGCCCTGTTCTTTTTAAGAGGTAGATCATATTCCCTGACCAAGTACTTTTGTTTTAATGTTTTATTGTATTGTTATTCTGTGTTCCTGTCAGTTATTGACAGCCTTATTTCCAGGCAGTAGAACATTTTCTAGTGCTTGGAATTTCAGTTTAGGAATGACAACTATGATTTGAACAGGTCACATGAGTCTTTCCTGGAAAATACCAAGTTCAGTGAAAACTAAAAATATAATTTCAAATCATATCCTATCATCAGGGGTGAGATGTTTTTGTACAGCTGCTGTTGTTTTATCCATCAGATTTCCTGCCAGATATTTCAGTGTTTGAATCAGACTTGTCACTGTTATCTCATGTGTTCAGACCAGGTTTGGCTTTAGATGTGTTCAGATAACATTTCATATGAATGAGTGTAGAGCTGAAATGATTAATTGATTTGCTGATAGTTAATCTGATAATCAGTATGTTGTCATTTTTTTCAAGCAAAAATGTTGAACATCCTCAGGTTCCAGCTTTTCGTTTGTGAGGATTTGGTGCTCGTCTTTGTCTTCAGTGATTGTAAGTTGGACTGTTTTGGACTGTTGGTTTGATGACATCACTTTGGGCCTCAGAAACGCGTGATGGTTACTGATCCCTTTAACCCAGTGTGTCCTGTGACAACCCCCACCTGTGAGCTCTTTGGACAGGACGTGTAGCCCTAAATTGTATCAGGTCTGCAACAACGGGAAATGAGAAAAATCTCATCTTGGATCCAACACACAAATCTATAGATTAGTGGCAGGTCATGTCATATCCTGAGATGAGTTAATTTATAGATGGCCTTTCTATATCCACTGCGCCTCGCTATTCTAATGGAAATGTGACATTTGTTTCACCAGAAATGGCCGTCTGTATCTTCAACACGGGGGGAGGCAGTGACTGCCCTTTTTCCCCACATAATTACATTATAATTAATCATAACACTAATCTTAATGTTGAGTACTGCAATGTTTTATTGCAATAAGCTGCCATTTTTCATTTTTCTCATTAGAGAAAACCTTAGCAACTCCAGACGCCCGTCCACCATGCAGCTCAAATAGTTCAGACCATTTTTTATTCACTATTTATATTGGAGTCACAGCTATGAGCGTTCTCACAGCTGCCGCAGTAGGATTTTGTGGTTCATATCAAGAAGTCTTACAGCACCACAAACAACAGAGCTATTCAGTCATTCAGACAGACACTGACTTCATTTCCCCAGTGGTATGTGGTTGTTTGACATAAAAGTGATCATGCATATTTATAAGTTCATTTTTGATTCATCACAGGCAGCATTACTGGCATTTTGGCGAAGCAAGCCAAAGCAATTTTATTTACAAAACACACTTTAAACTGTACCATGTAAATTTTAATATTTGAACTCGGTGTCCTTTTACATACATACACGTGTGTGTGTGTGTGTGTGTGTGTGTGTGTGTGTGTGTGTGTGTGTTTGTGAAAGAAAACATAACATCAAAACACATTAGTAAACCTTACACACATGCACACAAACACACACACAGACTCATCGTATCTTAGTCTTGGTGGTCAAGTCAAGTCAATTTTTATTTGTATAGCGCCAATTCACAACAGAAGTTATCGCAAGGTACTTTCCGAATAGAGCAGGTCTAGTCCTTATATAATATTATTTACAGAGATCCAACAATTCCCACCAACTGCAAGCGCTTGGCAACAGTGGCGAGGAAAAAACTTCCTTTTAAGAGGCAGAAACCTTGAGCAGAATTGGACTCCTGGTGGGTGGCCATCTGCCTCTACCGGTTGGGTCTTCTGTCACTCTCCAACATGATTCATAAAAGCCTGACATCTAACTATCAATGCTGAGAAGCAGATAGTCCATCTACACTGCGTACACAACAAACTTATGCAGTTATAAAACCACTGCATGACCTGAGACCTGAGAGATCTGACTCAAGGCCAGTCCATTTTATTTATATAGCCCAATATCACAAATCAAAAATTTGCCTCAAAGGGCTTTGCAATCTGCACAGCACACCTCACCCTCTATCCTTAGACCCTTGGATTGGAGGCAGTGAGAAGGTCAGAGGACATGGCTTTTATCAACAGTTTTTGTTGAAAGATTTTTTTCATGTGTGTTTTGTGGATTATTAGAATCAAGCCACTTTTTAGGAAAATAATGGAAATGCTTTTTGAGTCACTATTGATGTAGATGTCATTAATTGTCCCGCAAGGGCTGTTTTGGTGATTAGCTCTTAAACCCAAGTTGACACTTCATATACAGGACATGTATCATCTAGTTTTCCCCGTAGCCGAATTATTCGTGGAGTTCCCCTCCTCCTCTCCAGAACAAATGGAGCAGGTGATGAAAACCGGTAAAAACACTGAATAGAGCAGTTTCACAGGATTGTCACTAACGTGTGCTTGGCTTGTTTCTCCGATAACTTAAGATCCAGCTACATCCAATGACTAAAATCCTTCATCTGGTTAAAATATATTCTTAAAAACAACCAGAATGTGGCTTAAATGATGCAATTGGTAGGCGACTAAATGAAACTAACCGTTACCTTGATTAAAATTACCGATTTCTCTTGGTTTGAAAATTGATGGAGACATTTGGAATAATGTAACTCAACAAAATCTATAGCCGAAAAAAAAAGAAAAAAAAGAAAAACAGAGTTTGCCACTGTGGCTCCTGAAATAATATGAGTCATAGAGAAAAACCTGCTTCATTCATACTTGTTCATACATGTTAATGAGTATTAAACACCAATTGGTGGAATGATGTAACCAAAGGGAAAGACTGACAATAAACAAAAATAAAATGAAGAGAATCAAAGTGTTGTGATATTAACATTATTTAAAATCTATAGGTCAGTTCTCTCTGAAGAACCAATCAATAACTACATTTATCTATTATTGATACCTGGCCTCATCTATTAGACCTGGAGAAGCCCTGATTGATCAGTTTGGTCTACAGACTATGTCCATCCATTAGATAAGATGCTGGCTTGACACTGGCAGGAACAGTCCATTATTTATGTAGAGCGATAGATTGTTTGTTCAGGTTGTGTTACTGTAGATCCTCTGCTGCTCAAGAGGAGCATCACTGTAAGATATGAGTTCCTCCTTCTTATTATGTAGCATTGGTACTCTGCCTGGTTTTTCATAAAGCATCACTAAGTTTTGCATCTGTAAGCAGGAGGCTATATGTAAGCTAACCAGTCCCCATATTACATATTACATATAGATGTAGGGGAGATTATTTTTATGATGTTCCAGTGTTTATTACAGTGACAAAAAAAATACTGTACCCGTTGAGTTGCTACTGTGCCATTCATCAACTCTGTGGATGAGTGGGTGTTGACACCTAGACTGTTTTTGTAAGTATCTAAGGCAGTAGGTTCCCGGTGTCAGTCAGTCAGTCAGTCAGCCACTCGCTCATTCACTGACATTCGTTATTATTGGGTTGTCCCGGCTGTTGCGCTCCAGCCAACAATAGTAACACAGCGTGTGACATAAAGAACACACAATAAGTTAAAGCTCACAAAGGTTGATATATCAAGAAAAGCATATTGAACTTTCATTGAACTCGGCCTTGAAAGCAATTTTACATTTCATGCAAATCCTTTGGTCCTTGTCTTGATTACTGTTAATTTAGACAGAATCAGCTCACACTAATATAAACTCTGAGGTGTGAGTTTTTCTAATACTTTATGGTGCCACTAAAAACAATTTGAGGTGGAAGGGGAGAGAATGAGCCAGCAAGTTTAGCAAAATTATTTAAAAAACATCTTTTAATTTTCAGCCTCATGCATGCCACAGTGTTGCTACATGGGTGCCATGGCAGGGAGCACAGGATGGACTGACTTGTGTCTTATACAGCCCACAATCTGAGCAGCCAATTAGCCATCTAGTTAGTTATTCATTCAGCCAGTCTGCCAGTTAACAGCCGATCATCAGTCACTCAGGCAGTTGACTACAAAATCAGTCATTCCTTCTGCAAATTCTGCGAGACATGACTTACTCTGAGGATTTTCTTCCATTAATTGACATATGAAGAATATTTGCCATCCAACAGTGAAGAAGACGGTAGAAAACCACAGGAAATATGCAAAAAGAAAAGAGAAAATGGTCAATAAAGGTCCATCTGTGAAACCAGCAGAGCAGTCTTTGTTTCAGGGTCTAATAGAAACAGTATTTGATTGAGACAGGGATGAAAACAGAAGAGAACACATTTCACTTGACTCTGTGTTTTGCTATAACAATACTAAGTAAACTGTTCTGTAATCCAGTCATCACTTTGAAAGTGACTGCAAGGAGAGTCTCTTTATGGTCGTAGAGGATGGAGGGCCTTCACCCTTCTCCTGCAGTCTCAAATGTTTTGAGAGACTGGTGCTTCAGGTTGGTCCCCTGAACTGCACTCAACATCAATTTTCCCGAAGAAAGGATTTACTGCAGGACTGTTGGATTGCTTTATACTGTACAGCTGCGCCTGCTAAATTGGAAACTTAGTCTCAACTTGTAATGTTTTCAGATTTATTTGCAGACATTAATCACATCATAACTGCTTTGCCTTCCTGTGAGTCTTGTTTGGGTCCTGACCCAGTGCTGGCTTTCTGTAGTGTCATGCCAGTGAGAAGAAGGAGTAACTTCCTAGCATACTGGCATCATGTCAGCATACTGATCACGCTGCCTGGCAAAGAGCAGCCTCATTTTTATTCATTTATTCATCTTCTCTCTTTATTTCTTGTCTCATCCCCTTACTGTCATCCTGTTTGTCCTCCATTTCTCTCTTACTGCCTTTCTCACTCACTTTCTCCTTGCTCATAAAATATTTGCCTTAGTAAATGACTACAAAGCACAGCTAAAGCTCCTGGGTTATTCTGAGTGTTTACTCTCCACTGCAACTGTGCAGCTGCTATCTACCCAGTGAAAGTAAAAAATCAAATAGAAATTACTGATTACAGATTACTGAGACATTAGAGGGTTGGTGTAATTTGGATTGAGTGTTATAATTTGAGGCTGTGTGCGTATCCGTGTGTGTGTGTGTGTTTTTAATTCAAATACTGAAAAGCATTTGGTCTCAGGTGGTTGTCATGTCTATCCTATAAACAGACACTAAAAACTAATAACAGCTGCATCCCGTGAATGTTATGCCTTTACTGCTATAAGAAGTCAAAATGTCCTCTATGACAAATGCTCTGTTGTTTGCATCAGATGATATTGTTTTACATTATCATGGTTGCTCGACAGAGCAGTAATCTAAACAGCATTCAAACAGTGTTACATAGAAACACTCAATCAAACCAAATAATGAAGCTGTTTCAATGTGACTCAAAAGCACTCTTCCAAAAGCAATAATCATACCTTAACAAACCTCATTTGTTGTCCCTATGAAGTAATAATGTTTTTTGAGGGTTTGTCAGTAATGGCTGAAATAGAGGGCAATAAAAAGTAATTGGTTGGTGTCACAGTATTTTGTGCCTGTGAACCAACAGCACGAGGTTGTCAGGTATCAGTTTGTTATATGCGGCTGCAAGTGTTATTGGCTCAAGGGGAAACACTTCAGTCTGTGAGGCTGCTGCTTTCAAATGTTGGCTAAGTGTGTAGGAAGGGTGAGAGAGACTTTATATTGATTTTGGATTTTAGTTTTCTTTAATGTGAGCAAGAGGACACATGGAGCTTTGGGGTCCTTGTTTGGATAACATCTGTGTTTTTTATTATTTTATCCATAGAGCAAAATGTGAGGTACACCCTATAATTCAAATTTACCACAAGACTAGGGAAAGGGTTCATTTCAGGGTTGTTGTACTGCATTGGGTTTTATTTTCAGTTGTTAACTTCACTGTTTTCTTTACTGTACCGATTGTATTGATCATATATTATTTACAAATTTCTAATGTCCAAATTAATGATTCAGAGCAAATAATAAAAAACAATGTTTTTGATTGATTTGCTATATTGAGATACAGTATATTGATACAATAAAAAAGGTATGTTGTATTATGATATTGTAATAATTGATTTGATGATTGATTTAAACCATGTGGCCCAGCCTTACCACCACCTGTACACAGATTTTTGCCAAAGTAAAAGAGAGACAAACACACACTATAAAAACAGACTCATAATTACATGCAGATTGTTGTTAATTATGGTTCATTTCATAGCAAATGTTACTGGCGTTGCGTGAGCACAGCAGTGATAATGTTTAGTTGTTTACTTTTTTATCTCCCCCCTCCCTCTCATTCCTGCCTACCCTCTCTCTATCTCTCATTCACCTTATACATCTTCTTCCATCTCGTTCCTTGTTTTTTGTCTCTATTTTTCACTCTCTTTCTCCTTCCAATTTCTGCACTTGTGTCTCCTCTTTTCTCCTCTCCACTTTTCTCATCTCTGGCAGTTTAAGTGCTGTGGAGGTCAGGAGTATAAAGACTGGGCGGTCAACATGTACCACAATTGTTCTGCACCTGGTCCATTGGCCTGCGGTGTCCCATATACCTGCTGCGTTACTACTAAGGTCGGTATCACTATCACTTTTACTGTTAGTGTCATTACAACGTTATCTGCTACAGTATCTGACGTTGCTGTCATACAATAGCATATACTGTTGTTACTGTCTGCGTTTCTTGTGGTAGGTAATATTTCTACCATTTCTACCACTCTTGGCACTACTTGGTGGTGGTACTGTATATGTGTGTTAACCAGTTTTGAAGGTCAGTGTTAGATATTAGTATCTTTAACATTATGGATAAAGTCATTCTTGTCTCTATTTATTTATTTATTACAGGTCTGTGAAGCCCTGAACAGTCAGCTCAGTTCGTATTTCATTATAGTAATAGCTGTAATAATAAAGAGTTGCATTTAAAATGCATCTCATCATCCTTATAATGGTGATTAAGCCTGTTCCATGCCAGACACACTCACAGGCAATTTTCTCCCACGCAAAACATCACAGTTGCTACCTTCAATTTATACACCTACACTCTCTCTGAGTTTATAAAGAGAGAACAAACAAGACTTTTATTCTGACAACAATTTGATGAACAAGATTACATTTCCCGAACCTACAAATATAGAAAGCTATTTCATACATCTGTTTGAACACCGTTCTTTAACAAAAAAACTAATATCCCACATGTACAAAAAATTAATGATGGATATGTCAGACAATACACTACACATCAAGCAACAATGGGAACTGGAGCTGAATGCAATAATAGATGATGACTCTTGGGAAAACATATGTTCCAGATGCCATAAGGGGGTTGGAAGCCAACTATACAAAGAATTTGACTGGAAGGTCAAAATTAGGTTCTTCAGGACACCACTAACAACTTTTGTTTCCAAGAACAATCCCAGCAACAAATGCTGGAGGAACTGTGGTATGGTCGGTGACCATACTCATATATTTTTGGACTGCCCGAAATTACAGACATTTTGGAAAAATGTCAAAGAAGAACTGGAATAAATTCTGGCAGTGGACCTTCCTATGGACTCTTTGTTATTTCTATTAGAGGTGTTTCCTGATCACCTGTTTACCACTGAACAATGTTATATATTACATATTTTATTGATGATTGCAAGAAAAATGATTACTATCAGTTGGATGAAGACTGACCCTCCCATGATCACTCAGTGGTTACAGAAAGTAAAACATGTCTACATGATGGAATATATGACTGCCCAATTACAGCTAAAAGTACCTGTTTTTATGAGAAGGTGGACCCCAGTTACTGACTATCTCGCTTAGGACTCTTATACACTTATATTATACTCATTTACTATTATTTTTTTTATTATTATCTAAAATATCCCTTTTTTGGACTACAGAACTAGATAAGATGTGTGCTATACCCTTTACAGTGCTATCTCTGTGTGACAGATGATTTTTTTTTCTCTCTTTTTTTTTTCCTTTTTGTATTCCTTGGCGATGTTAATTGCCTGTTAATGTACATTTAAGGCAATAAAGTTAAAAAAAAAAAAAAGATTACACTTCCCCAGGCTGAACTCATGAAAGTGACACCACCAGTCCTTCACCCTTAGTAAATATTCAATTCAGTTACCTACAGTCCACATACAGTTAAGATTTTCTTATTCCACAAGTTTGCATTGTTGTGAGCCAGTTCTGATAACAAGGTGAGAAAAATGTCAACTATTTATTTTCCTATTAAGGGGTAGCATGTGATGTCTCCTTTCCTTTTCCTGGTTCATTTCCTTTTTTCTGTGGTTGTAATTTATTTTTCATTCCACTGTTTTAGTATTTAGTATTTTCTCTATAAATGTTGTAGCTGTGTGGCTCACTTGTGTTAACTGAAGAGGAAACATTGTTAAACTGCCTAAAGGCAGCCAATGTAATATTTTTACTGCACTCAGTCCTGCTGTTTTCATCGTGTTAAGATATGGAACAGTGACAGACCAATAATTAATTCTCTTGTTATTCACTGTTTCCAGTTTCCCATATTTGTCAGTAACTATTAAAATAGGCAGAGCCACTGCCACCAGGATTCATCTTCTCTCCGTATGAATATACCAAGACAAAATTCTTACATTGAGATAATATGGTTCATAGGTCGCGTTGCTCAAACAACACATTTGTTCGTGACACACAGTAGCTGATGGATAGAAAAAATGACGAACACAACCCTGTGTGGCAGACAACACATAATAGGCAACAGAAGCTCAGAAGCAGAATGCATGTCATATTATACTTGACTGACAACTTTATTTAAAATACTTAAGTATTATGTGAGAAGTAGCAAGTACCAAGTGTGAGTTAAAGTCAGAGACAGCATATATAATTATAAAATGCATGTGCACTCCATTCTTCAAAATGTTGTCCATTGGTACGAATGTAAAATAGATACAGCTGATGTCTTTCTTATAGGTCAATTGTTAATCATTCAGATAAAAGGTTTATCATTCATATTTAGATGATATATGATTTCCATATTTAGGTTCACATCCATTTATTATGCATTATCACTGACAGTCCATGAGGTGTAGCTCCAGTGACTGGTCAAAGGTCAGGCGACGGTCGCTCAAAAGTCCAGGTGTCTGCCTTGTAATCCTTGTAATTATGCTTGAATTTCAAGGCTGCATGTTCAAATTAACATGAAGCAGCAATTAACTACACTTGATTGAGTATGGTGTTTCTTTTTGGATGGAGGACTCCAATGAAATGAATGCAGCAGCGTCAGCATCGCCTGCTATGTATCAAGCTCATAACTGTACCCCGATCCTTGTAGATTCTTCAGTAGTAAGGAATTTCATAGATGACGCATGGGGAAATATGGTGACAGTATTGTGAGTTTTCCTCACATTGTAATCGTACCAATCCCATAGTAATGAATTAAAAATCTCCAAAATAAAGTCATTGAAACAATGACTTAAATACGGTGATCACTCCTTCCCTCCTCTTCTTCCTGTGCCAGACAGTCATGAGAGACTGGCAGTTTATTTCATCTTATTTGAATACATGAATATATTTCAATATTTGAAAGTGGAAAAGGCTTGTTCACATGCTCACGCACGCTCATGCACACACACACAACACACACACACACACACACACACACACACACACTCTTCGAACAGTCTCAGGCAGTTGAAGTGTGTGTCTTTGTGTGTGTCTCTTTTACAGATTGCCTCTGGTTTTTTTTACAAAAATTTTACAAATCCCACCTCTAAGGATAAATTTTGACTGAAAGCGTGTCTTCCTCTTTCTGCTGTTCACTCCCCTTGAAGCTCAAAGCTTTGTGCAGGCTACTGTCTGTCTCCCATTTACCTTTTAGGTCTAACTTTTAACTTTATCTCCTGTGTCTCTCTGCTTCTCTCTCCTCCAGCCTAATGAAGTGGCCAACACTTTGTGTGGCTACATGGTGCTAGCAGAAGAGGTAAGATAATGAAGACTGACTTATATGACAGATGTCTCTTTACCCTCATTAAAGTGCAGTTCCTCTCTTTTACTGTCAGCTTAAAATTCCTGCTTTAAAAGCTTAAAGTTAGAGTTTAAAGTGACAATGGACAACTTTTCAACAGGGCTACTGCTGTCAGCCTGGCTACTGTCCAAACCAAGAATCCCAATTTGAACCAGAAACCCAGATCTCAATGCTCTGATAAAGGCTGCGAAAAACACCTGGTTGTATTAGTCAATATGCAGGCTTTGTTCCTTATGCATCTAGTAGAAATAAGGCTCAGCTGAAGTTTGGAGCTCTGTCCGTAGTTGGACTGGCCATCATCAAGATTAGAAGGATGAATCTCGGTGGGCCAGTGGACTGTAAAAAAAAAAATCCATAAAGTTTTTACTGGCCCGGCCAGTCTCTTAACCTGCCCCCCCGCTGGTCCTGGCAGGGGGAGGGCCGGGGTTGAATTTCTGTCCCAGTGCGACCATGGCATTCTCCATCAAGTGAGTGACCATCCGAGGTTCATTCTTGATTCAGTTTCTACCACTCTCAGTCTTCACCTTCTTTGCCTATTCTACCCTAAACCCATAAATTAGGCTTATAGGGAACCAATGTAAACACAGATGGTGTCATTATTCTATAGCCATTACAAGTGCAATCAATATTTACTTCATAATGATAAATTAAAGAAAAAAATGCGTTAATTTCCACTTAATAATTAAACTGGCAGATACAAAACATGGGACAGTTACTATGTATTTGTTTAATGTTGTGAAAGGTAATATAAAACAGGTAAAACAAGTGATTATTGTTTTCTCAAGTACTGGCTGTAACTATTATATAACTGTTTATTTTGTTTCCAACAGCGTTTGTCATTGATTGAAAAGATTCATATCAGAGGCTGCACCGACGCTTTCTTTATCTGGCTGATGGACAACTATAAGATTATGGCTGGACTGCTGTTAGGGATCCTCCTGCCTCAGGTACACACACACACACACACACACACACACAGAAACACCTACAGTGTAGAGCCTCACTGTATGTGAAGCAGAACTGAACTACAAGTCAAAGTTCAGTGTGTGCACTGTTATCTATATAGACACAGGCAGGTTTACTGGTCTCCCTGAAGAGAAAAAATGGACTTTTGTGTTTTGAGTGAGTTTGAAGATGAAGTCCATTTCATGATTGTTCAGTAAATGATGATTTATGATTATTACTAACCTGTTTAATCTTTTAACTGAACTTTTTGATACTCAAAGGGGAGCGGGGTTGTGTCTTTTGTACCTGTGACATTCACAGAAATTTGCTAAAACTGCTGGAAGGAATTAAAAATTGCAACTTTAGTTTCAGTATATTTGTGAATATCAGTAGCACAGTGAAATAAAACATTCATCCATATTCAACAGCCTGTCTAATGCAAGCAGCTCCGATGAGCAGGAGGAAATGTAAATTACTTTACCTCAGGTACATCTGACAACTCAGCTGCATTAGCAGTGATAAAATAAGCAGGGCAATTTTCCCAAAATGCTTTGCATGCTAGTCCATTTCATTAAGTTTTAATGCAAAATTCTTGATACATCAACCTAATGACAAAAATAATATTATTCAAATGATACATCTGAGTTTACATGAACATTTTAACCACAAACCTTTTGAAATTGTCTGACTTTGTTGTTTGTCCAGCATTGGGAAAAAAACATCTACACATTATGGGTTCATACACTACATCTGCCATTTCCCTTCATATCCATTTTCTTTTTTACCAGATCCAGTAGAGGATGTGGGTGTGAGAGACACGGAGCTATTTTTCATCACTTTGTCATTTCTGTCCTCTCACATCTCATTTTAACTCACATGATGCATTAAAATCCAGACACACACACACACACACACACACACACACTGGCAGCTATGAATGTATGAATAGAGATGATGCTTGACTTTAATAAGCACAATGGGCTTTGGTGAGCAGAAGCTGTCAGTCACTCATCCAGTCCATACATGTGGTGCTTCTCATTTCATGTCTCCTCACTCATCGCACTACAGCTGACTTGAATTAATCTGGTCCGCCATAATGAAGGACATCTCGGTTCCCTTATTTATGTTCAGAGGTGCGAGGACACATCCTTCACAGAAGTCTTCTGATTGGACCGATCTGATATGACATCACTGCAGTCTGATATCGGGACACAAAACAGATGCAGTTCTGGTGCAATATCTCCACCAAGTTTAGATTTTAATTTGTGTTCTGATTCACCATTTAGTTAAAAAGTATTGGATCTGTGTTAACTGTTGGTCTGATTAATGAAGGAAAAATTCAACATTTTTCATCATTCATCAGAAAGATTTTCCTTTTCATTGTTGGTCGTTTCCCCATTTTAACCTGTATCGTGTGTATTTAGCATTTCTGCGGATATATGCTACTAATTATTCTTAGACTTTCTGTTGTTAATCAGGCTTATGTGTTTTCAGTGTCAGAGCAAGGTGCTTTGATGGATCTGTTTACAATATACGGTAAATACAAGTTTGTATTGAATGTTCAGATGCAGAGGTATTTCACGTTCACTTTTGTCATGTTGGAGGACATCACTACACCTGCAGGGTGACAGTGATTCGGCTGTACTGTAGTCATCAGAAATTGATGTTGATTCAGATGACGGTTTAGAAATCGTGTTTCCTCTTTTCTTGTATCTTCCTTGTATCCTACGTGGAAAGGACTAAGACGTGAGGGTTAGATGCAAGAGAGGGAAACAAAGAGACATTTAAGACAAATGAGAAGCACCCATGATGACCTTCCCTTCTCCCCTTCCCATACTTAGCCTCTGTCTCTCTCTCACTCTCTCTAGTTCTTTGGTGTGATAGTCAGCTGGCTGTATATCACTCGTGTGGAAGATGCCATCAGTGAGTACAGTCACTACACGGATGGGTTCCTGGACTCAAACCCACAGGAAAGACAAGCCAAGAGCCAGGGCCGCATGGCCAAATGGTTTAAGTGTATGCCAGAGATCGACTGATGGAGACAAAAAAAAAAAAAACAGAAAGCAGCGAACAGCTGCTCCAGCCAACATTCACAGCTGGTTAAATCACTCCAGTCAATCAAGATACTGCTGCAGCCACTGTGGGAATCTGCCTTTGAACTGCAGGTTTACTACAAGCTCACTGCACTGTGGGGAAATAATGTTTGTTTGTGTTTGTTTTTTATTGGGAAGAAGGAATTTTTCAGGAACCAGATTATATGGAGTTTACTATTCAATTGTTATTTTTTCCTATAAACTTACTGTAGAAATAGAATAATTATCACTTTATGTGTTAACCACAGTGTACTAATGTACAAGTGTTAAATAAGAGCTCATTCAGATATGTGCTTTTAGCTGCACTGTGCCTCAGACAGTCTCAGGGATACACACAGTGATAAACAGAAACACCAACACAACCACTTTGCTTCTGGTATTATGATATGACATCAAATCCACAGCACTGACTTACTTTCATACCAGTGTTCATTGTGTGTTTTCTACTACCAATTAAAACATTTCTGTACTCCTCTACAACCTCTGATCTTATCATCCAACCACTACTGTTGCCAAAACACTTGCAGTGCTAGATATTGTAGAACACCATTTCTGTTGTGTGAAAGCAAGACATGTCTGCCTTAGTTGTATATAGAACTGGACATACGCTGAAGTTTGAGACTGATAATGAATTATTTTCAAATATTAGCCTGAATAATAAGAATGTATATGCTGCATATATCGCAAGTGTCCACTGAACCTCCATGATCTGTCCCGCTAAAGAAGTGTTGTCTATAATGCTCATTATAGACATTTTCTTAATTTGTTAATCAAAACTTTAACTTTGTCTCCCTGTTTGAACTCAAGTCTGCTGCTGAATGAAGAGAAAATGCAAAGCATTATCCTTTGTGAGACAAAGGGCTGAATATTGAAAATAAAATAGTCCAAGATGTAGAGTAGATGGAATTGCCTTAGAAAATCCTACAACATATAATCCTGTGGAGTATTACATTTTACAGATACACACTTGATATGAGTGAATAATGTGAAGTTAATGTGCTACTTAAGCAATATCACACTGCAGTGTGTGCTGAAGTATCCAGGCTTCTTCTCTTCATCCTCTTCTGACATCCATACATCATTTACTTCTGGAAATATATTCATCTTTGCAAAGTTTGTTACAATCCAAGATAGATACCGACCGTAAACATAACGCTAATTAATGGTTACACGGGGTGATACATGTAGTTAAAAGTCCCAGTGCTGTTGTACTCTCCATCAGTACTCATCATCATGCCTCTTGTCCAATCTAATTACTTGGTCAGAACTAACTGTTGCAGGATGAACTTTGTTTGGTTTGGTGTGAAGATGGAAACTGAGACCAAAGACCTGAACTCTCTGGAAGTTGATTTTTATGTCACATCTCTCTGCCTTTGTCTGCTTAATATATAAAAATCCATGTTGGATTGATCACTCAGTGCAGCTCAGGCTCAGCTGGCTGCAGAAAACAGTCAATTTACAAAAAAAAGTCACTAACATGTCGGGTTGTCTCTCACACTGATACGTTCTGTTTGGCTTTGAATAGGTGAGGGGGTTTTGAGGTGTCAGCTTGGTCCCTGTTTGACTGTAACTTGTGAAGGTATTAGCTGGTGGGTTGAAGGTAAACATTATATGTATGTACTCACTTGGTTTAGGTTTTTTATTTATTTGTACTAACCCTGCTTCTTACAGTGAGGCTGCATTCACACACGGATTTTCAGGCTTTTTGACACATTTTTTTTGTCAGTGATCATGGAAATAAGTCAGATTCAACATAGAGTAACATATAAGGTCTGAGTTTTAGAGACTATATATTTTTTTAAATAAAGTCTGATCAGACAGTTGGTTTCCACTTGGGTAACTTCATTTCTCTGCCTCATCAAGCCAGACTAATCTAATGGTGATGAGTTAAAAGGACTGTCCTTTAGCAGACACACTTTTCAATCCAAGTTATCAAGGGAATTTGATTATGAAATGTGAATGTATTCACCCAGCTCGGATAGAAACATAACTATTACTTTATATACTCTGTATTTTATAGTATGTATGTCTGTTAGTATAGTATGAATCCTAAGCATACTGCACCATACTTATAGTCTAACCAAAGAAGGTCCATACATATTACCTGTACTGTGTACCACATGTCAGAGGTTGTAAATATTACATGACAAAAAGTTTTATGTAACTATCATGACTAGTTAAAGTACCAGTGTTTTCTCTTTAAAAGAATAAGATGATACATAGATGTAAATTCAAAATTCAAGGGGAAAGTTCAAATTCAATGGAGTTGCACAAAACCACAATTATTAAAAGAAGTATGGTCTGTTGACAAAAGGTTTTGCCTGTTCGAGGGTGGACAATAAAATGATTTGCTTTTTGATGAGTTGTTTATCTTTGAGCTGACTGTAGCTCTGAATGGATCTTCCGGTAAAGCATTTTTTAGAGGTTGGGGGGCTGTTAAATAAATAATGGCTGATATCTCACTGTGTGTTTTTGAGGGCATGCCTCACACTGAGCCACAAGCAGAGTCTAAATTTTTCATGCAAAAGTATGCAAATGAAGTTTGTGAAAGGTCTAACTGTGACTACAGTGTAGAGGGAAAAGTAGAGAGGACCCGCCAGAGGGCATTTTAAAATTACTGCTGCTACTATCTTAAAACAAGCTAATTAGTTGAAAGTGAAAATAGTGGCTTTCAAAGTCATTAAATTAAGACTACAATATTAATTAAAAAAAAACATAATGGGAAGTGAATTCATTTTTCTACTGAAATTAATTTCTTAAAGTTAATTGATATAATGTTTTTAAAAAATTGTTTTTACAATCAAAAGAAATAAGTGAACTCAAAGGAATTAAAGCCAAAGGTAAAGGTTAGGAAGAAACATCTGTTCTTAAAATATGAAAATCAACAATATACTGTATACACCTGTAGGAAATGAAATCTGGTGAGCAACATTAAAAACATGATTTTAAATCAAAACAAAATTTCATTGTTACCCTCCAATGAAAACGCAAATGAACGCGTTTGATCACCTTGTTCAGTCGCTCATTATGTGAGTGACAGTTTTAAAACTGCAAAACAAATTATTTGAACTGAAGGAACCTGCATTACAGAGGGAAGCAAGATTTGTTTCTCATACACTGAGGTTATCTGCGTGTCATTTCACCATTATGTGGCCCTGGTTCAACCAAGTTCAACTCCTTTACTCAGAAGAACTTGTGTGGAATGCAAAAAAGACTGAAACCTGGTGATGTGTGGGGAGTGTCCAGTGTGGTTTGGTGTTTCTTTGTTGTTTTATATTTCCTGCTCTTACTCCTGCTTCTCCTGCTGCTTCGAGGACTTCCTGCTGAATAGAACCTATTAATATTTTACTCCTACCACCACAGCAGAGGAGAAAATTATTTTCCTACATCACCAACAAGGAAGGAAGAAGCTGTTGCGAATGGTCTGGATGTAGTGCTCATGTTGCTATGTTCCACCAACATACAGCTTAAAATAACTTGTTTGGTTTCTTCCCACCAGCTCTTATTCTTGCTACTACTCCACAGTCAGAAAAAATATATATATATTATTATTATCCAATATAATGTTAATTCCTATAGACACTGGACTGGTCTAGTGTCGTTGGTCATTCCTAACAGTTATGATCACATTATAAGATCTGTGCATGAAGCATCATCCCCTACTCTCCATAGTAATGGACATTTCAAATGCTGTCATCACTAAAACTTTGACTATAGATGCTATCAGTTTCTCACACTGCACAGAACCTTTCTAACAGTGTCGCCCATCAACAGTCAGCTGCAGTGTGAATAATCCTTTGGGATTATGTCATCAAGGTTATGCAACTAAAAATTTGGGTGACATTAAGAAAATGTGTCTTGACATTAAAATTCATGCAAAGAAATATTTACTTTAATGAAAGTTCAAAGCAAATACTGTCTTATTGTTTGCCTTCTGCCTATTTCATTCACATTAACTCGGCCTCCTCTTATAAAGTATAAAGTGTGTGTATGTGTGTGTGTGTGTTGCTGATCGTAAATACAAATTTGAGATGCTCTGCCTCTCCATCAACTACTTTATAGACTCTCACGGTCTTTGCTGACAGTTGTGTTTCCCTCTCTCTCTTTTTCCTGTGATAAAGTTTGAGCTGATCTGTGTGACTGTCCGTCATCTCTGCCCATCTCCGTCTTGCTGTTTTTCCCCTGACTTTCACTTCTCCTCTTCAGCTGTTCTCACTGAACCACATGAGGAAACAGATGTACAGAGAGCAGAAGAGAGTCGGGCAGACAGCCAGCCTCACATGACTGTGCATGACATGGTTACTGCACTGCTTTAATTCAGATTTTCCTGCTATTTCATTCTGAAAACATCATCAAGCATGTTCATGAAAGGTTCTGTAATCCTACTATTCAATAATACTAGGCGCATTTTGTGACTTGAAAGGATGTCACTCAACTATGGTGTAGCTTTGACGAAGTACAAACTGAAGTATGAATCAGTTTATATTACTTGGGAGGCTCCTGAAGCAGGAGCACCATAACACAGAGACACAAAAGTATAAATCCACTTTAAGTGTGCTACAAGCCTTCACTCCACCGGCTTACACGCGCAACTTAAATTCTCCTGCAGTTATTTACCATCACTGTCAAACTTTAAACGAACATACAGAAAACTGACAACATCATGTTTTATATTCTTCTGGGGATACTTTGACCAGCAAAGTTATCAACACACACACACACACACCCATCCGGCCTCTACTAATGGACTTCTTCTAAGAAGTTAATGGTCCCAACACAGCTACAAAATTGTTAAATTAAAAGCATGCTCTGGTTGACAAGGCCAATAAAGTCTATTCAAATTAGAGCCAGTGGACTGGGAATGAAGCACTGCACACCATATCTGATACGTCAAAATCAATCATTATCAATCAAACACGGAGCTCAGTAATACCACATTTCAGTTAATGCAAAACAATGTAATGTAATTCAGTTTTGGCAACCATTGTCGATTGCTTGTTTAAATGTTGTCATATCCGTCTATATGAAATAAAACAAACCTAAGGCAAAACACAAACATAACAACCAACATAACGTAACACATCTTTATCATTCATCATTTTTTGTATACGTAAGGAAGTATAAGTGAGTCACAGCTGTTACTGATGTGGAATTTGCAATGTTTCTCCCTGACATGACATGACAAAACTCTGCACACATTAAATTAAACTTATCCACTAACCCTAACCAACAAAACCCTTAGAAAGATATCCACATGGTGGTGGTCAAGGACGAAAATAGGAATGTCTACCTGCAGAGGGTTTACGGAGTAATTGTGATATTTCATTAATTTTTTTTAAACATTTTGATTGTTAAACTAATGTTGAACAATATATATACAAATATTCAATTAACAGTTAGTTGAACCATTTCATGGTTAGGGTCAGGCTTACTGAATTGCTGAAACCCAACTAATAACCTGTAGAAGTGTTACAAAATTACCCCAAATTTTGGCTAGTAAAATATTAGGAGGTTAAAACTTGGAGATGTACGTGTAAACATTTAAAATTCATCATAAATGTTTGTGTGCTCTAACTATAAATATGTAGGAAATCAGAAATCATGGAGCATTCAGCTTCTTAGAAAGTAGACCATTGTGTTTGCACAGATATATTCTCTACTCTTCACACTTTATAGACACACATACCCTCTCTCACACATACACACTGACACTGTGTCACTGTGTCCAATAATGTGTGGGAGGACGCTGGTCATTTATTACTCTGATACATAGCCCCGTGTCTGGTCTGATGTTGACATTTAGCCCTGCACAAGGAAACAAACTAACCTAATCATTCAGTGTGGGCAGCGGCGGGAACGCAGGCGAAGGGGGGAATCTTTAGAGCCAGGTGGCTTTTTTACACAGACATTAACTCACAGGTTTCTGATGCTACTTTTTCCTCTGTATGCCTCTTAGCAGGGAACAGATGTGAATCATTTCAGTCAGTTCCAACACATCCATGTATAGGCTACATACCACATCAGAAAAATCTAGTGGACCGTGGCATGAATTCATACACCACATTTATATACTCCTCCCTCTGTGACTGTGGAGAAATTAGACATTCATTCTTCAGGGCAGACCAAACAAACCCACTGTTTTGAATGTATCAACCAAAGCACCACATCATGACAACCAATATCATGTGCGACTCATTTATCGGTCTTATAATCAGTCTGATCTGATGCTGGCATTTAACACCGACGACAACACTCAATAAACAAACAGTAAGAATAGATTGAGTCTGAGATGCAACAACAAACAGTGGGTCCACAACAAATAATCATCAGCTTTCCTTTACGAAGGTAAATATGCAGTAAACACCGTGGACCTTCACTATAGCTGTTTCTCCTGTACCTTTGCAGTAATTGAAATGATCGAGCAGTAAGGAAGTTTATTGTTTCAGGTGGTTTTCTGGTGAGTCCTCAAATGAAGAGTTTATTTTTTGGAATGACACTGGGCCCCAGGAGACAAACTATATCGACTCTGTTCGGGATCCAAGATCATGAACCAATGAGTTTGAAAATTAAAAAGGTCAAGTAGGTAAAATAAATCATTATAAATAGCCCAGATCATTTTTAGGAGAGCAATAATTTCCTTTCCCGTGTCATATAAAGTTGAAACTTATGCTCAGTCATGCACGTATTAGCTAGCTTTTACATTCTGTTGTTGTCTTCGATGATGCCAGCAACTGTCCGTCAACCGCTATCAATACACAACATTGGTTTTAAAGTACAAAACAGAACATTTCACCATATTAAAAAAAATCTACAGCCATGCTAGCTGCTCTGTGACACTGTACTTGCTGTGCTGTACTTACAGCAGGACTTTGCAAAAAATATTAACTGTAGCATGGCAACCTGTTCACAGTGGAAATGCTAACATGCTGATGTTTAGCAGGTTGAATGTTTACTATGTTCACTATTATAGTTTAGCATAGTTTAGCATTAGCTTAACTATAGCATTGGCACAGTTTTCCAGGTAGTTGTTTAAAAACCAAAGTAGACAAATGAAAACTTCGACCTGATGATGTTGCTTGAGGAAACGCTTAGGGATCACAAAGGGTTACCACATGCTCTGAAGTCACAAATTCACAGTTAGTAGTGTGATGTAGGCTACTACTGTGTAGCCTCCGTATGGCTGTATGCCAATATGGTCAGTGTCATTTACTGAGTTCAGTGTGTGATCATTTGCTTCAGTGCAGAATGTGGCTTTATGAAATCACTGTTTAAAAATCTGCATTGCTGTGATGAAATTGCTCTCTGCTGCTTAGTTTAATGAATTGAATACAAACTCAGACATTTTTCTGTTGAAGCTGA